TACCTCTCTAGCTCTATCAGGTTGGATGGGAAGGAACGGTGTACAGCCATTTTCAGATGTCTCCAGAGATGTTCAACAGAATTTAGGTCTTGGCTTTGCTTTGGCCACTCAAAGATTTTCCCCGAGCTGTTGTGAAGCCACTCCATTGATGTTTCGGTGGTGTGCTTGGGGTCATTGACCGCCTGGAAGATGAACTGTCGCCCCAGTCTGAGTTCAAGAACACTCTGAAGCAGGTTTTCATTTAGGATGTCGCTTTACATTGCTACATTCATCTTTCCCTTTATCCTGACTAGTTGCTGCTACTGAAAAATATCCCCATAGCATGATGCTGCCACCACCATGCTTCACTGTAGGGATGGTATTAGCCGGGTGATAATAAGCTCTGACATTTCCTCCAACGAGTTCAATTTAAGTCTCAACAGACCAGAGAATTTTGTTTCTTATAGTCTGAGAGTCCTTCAGATGCCTTTTGGCAAATTCCAGGTGGGCTGCTATATGCCCTTTAGTTAGGAGTGGCTTCCATCTGGCCACTCTTTCCTACAGGCCTGACTGGATGATTGTTGCACAGATGTCCTTCTGTAAGGTTCTCCTCTCTCCACAGAGGAACGCTGTAGCTCAGACAGAGTGACTATCAGGTTATTTATCACCTCCCTAACTAAGGCCCTTCTCCCCCGATCACTCAGCTTAGATGGCCGGCCAGCTCTAGGAAGAGTCCTGGTGGTTCCAAACATCTTCTACTTATGGATGATGGAGGCCACTGTGCTCACTGGAACTTTCAAAGTAGCAGATTTTTTTCTGCAACCTACCCCAGCCTTGTGCCTCGAGACAATTCTGTCTTGGAGGTCTACAGACAATTCCTTTGTCTTCATGCTTGGTTTGTGCTTTGACATGCACTGTCAACCCTGGGACCCTATATAAACCAGTGTATGCCTTTTGCGGATAAAACTTAGGACGCGGGTGGTGAGGGAGGTGTCAAAGACGGCGCCCTCTCTATTCTGCCGGTCAAAGCGCGAATATAACTGCTGAGGACGCAGATGGTGAGGGAGGTGTCGTGGACGCCGCCCTCTCAATTCTGCCGCCCTAGGTGGCCGCCTAGGTTGCCTCTATGGACGCGCTGGCCCTGTTCATGGCAAAGGCTATGAATACTTATGTACATGTGATTTTTCAGTTTTTTTTTTTTTTATATATAAATTTGCAACAATTTAAAAAAATAATTTCTCACATTGGCATTATGTTGTATTGTGTGTAGAATTTTGAGGAAATAAATTAATTAATCCAATTTGGAATAAGGCGGTAATATAAAAAAAAATGTGGAAAAGTTGAAGCGCTATGGATACTTTTCTAGATGAACTGTATATGATGATGATGAGAATGAGGAGCTTTACAAGCACTACTACTGTAAATATACATTAAGGTTGTCTCAATAATGGAATTCGATACCAATCTGTACTGAAATTTTAAAAGTGTCCATTTCCTGCAAACATTTGGGCGCTGTGAAGCAGTCTTAAAGAGTGCTATTTAGCAATCGTGTTCACATGTTCAGCAAAAATGACGATTGACCGAACACACCGCTGTTTACTTAGTGTAACCACAAATACAGGGACGCTGGAGCGTTTCAAAGTCACGTTGATCAGCTGGTTTGTCTATAAGTTGACATGAGTAATCCGCTGATGAATGATGACTTTAAATCACGTCAGTGTCCCTGTATCTGTGGTTACACGCAGTAATCAGTGGTGAGTTTGGTCAACTGATGATCTTCACGGCTACTCACAGTAAATTCTGTTGAGCACGTCAACACAATGGCAAATCAGCAGTGTTAAAGAACGTGCTCCACAGCACCCAAATATTCACAGGAAATGGACACTTTTAAAATTTCAGTATTGATTGGTATCGAACTCCAGTATCATGACAACCCTAATATACACATAAAAATAAGAAAAGTAAATAAATAAATTAGTTAGGATCAGAGAGCAAATCATAAAAAAGGAAAGAATCAACCAGCAGTTCTTAAAGAAGAAGGTGCTAGAGTCAGTCAGCAAGTGATCAAAAAGAGGAGGCTAGGATCAGCCTCAGGCCCGGCGCTACGGGGGGGCAAAGGGGGGCATTGCCCCCTCAGAAAGAGTTTGTGCCCCCCCAGTTTTTATAAAGGACTCAAACTGAAAATTCTTTCTGTCATTAATTATTAACACTCCCGTCGTTCCAACCTTAAGAACACACATTTAAATATTTTAAAATATATGACATAGCAATTGAATTATGAAAATAGTGATATTAAAGCTAGTCCTATAGTTCAGAGATCCGGTCCCCGCGTCAGGTCAGGTGCGGCCGTAAATAGCCTTTAAAATGCGCACACAGCGATGGAGGCGCACTCAACTCACAACGGAGAAAAGTGGGTGACATGATAGGAGCAGCTTAATTCATTACATGCTTTGGTTAACTAATTATTTAAACACAACTTTCTTGAGCTCTAAAAGGAAAAAACACATAAGAAATTTGCTGTTAAATTAATTTTAGCAGAGACGCAACTGCCAGTCATTTATTAGTTCGGGAAGATGTAGCCTAATAAAAATGTTTTAATAAAAACAAATAGTTTGCTGCACAGTCCCACAGTAGGCTACACTATAAATAATATTTTAATTTTATTTATTAATATTATTATTAATATTATTACAATTAAACTAAAATTGACAAAACGCAGAACCCTTTGAATGTTTGCTTTCATTTTGCTAAAAAGCGCACTTTTACAGTTGTGTAGAGAAACATCCCATTATGCAGCAGCAGTCAAGGTATAACACATAATAAATGCCTTTTGCGTTTATTAAGTCAAGTTTGCAGTGTTATAAATGGAATATAGTGCTTAAGTGGATTTATCGCGGATCAACCGAGAAACCTCTCACGCGCTGCAGGTAAGCAGAATGATAATCTTTTAAAAATATGTCATTTAGGCTATACTGCTTTTTGCTCATGCAAAATTAAACAAAATATATTGTAGATCTATTTTAAGAGCTAAAATACAACATATCGAGTTTGTTTTGACTTGTAGCTCATGGCCCTAAAATGAAAATAACCTGAAAACAAAGCTATTAAAAAAAGGCTTAATTAATTAAATAATTAATAAATAAAATTACGGGTAGGCTTAGTAACCTAATGGTTTATGATGGTTTACAATATCACGAAAAAAACACATTTATGATAGCCTAAGATAAATCTTTGTTTTTACATTTAAAATCATGAAAAAAAGTTATATAGCATATTGAGTGTTATCCGTGCCAAAATTTAACCATTTTTCACGGTAATAACAAGTGAATTTTGGTATCTTTTTAGGTATTTTTCTGGCTACACTAATGCCTTAAAATGAAACTAAGTAATTGTTTTAAATGACATTAAATTGTAACATTTAGCTTTTCCCTAACAATGATGTTGGTTGGATAATACGTGAAGCGGGATGAATCGGTTAAGCTGATTTTACTTATTTACCGGTTAAATGAATAGTCTGATCGTGGGTCATGCTTGCATGCGTGGGCATAATTTGACGTCTTTACCTAAAACTTTAAACATTCATATGCCTGTTATTTAAAATAAAACGGAAATAAGGAGAATAACATATGATTTAAAACACTCGTTTGGCACTGAAGCCATCCTCCGTCTGCATTAATAAGCGGTATGCATTACTATCGTTAATAAAATTCGTAATAGCGAAACTGCATATTGTTATTACTATTAAAACGTAGCCTATAGTACTGCCTTAGTTCAGTAACTTAGGCAGTAATGCAAAGTAATAATAAATGTGAATAAATAGCCTAAATGAAAGAAACAAGAGAACAAAATGAGTCACCAGGGGCCTCATGTACGAAGACTTGCGTGGAAATCTTACTAAAACATTGCGTACGCACAAAGCTGTAAATGTGCGTACGCAGAAAAAAATTCAAATGTATGAAACACTGCGTACGCCGAATCTCACGCATATTCTTTTGTACATCTGAATGAACGTGAAACTGAGCGCAACATGCACGAGCACAAAACCCCTCCCTGCCTCCTCCCCCGTATGAATATGCTAATGACTATGCTAATGGCAAAACCCAACGAAAAAGCAACGGCAAAAGCAAGCAAAAAGAGAAACTTTGAACAGAATGTGAATTGGAGGTGCTGCTTTCGGAGGTAGACCGGAGAAAAGCGGTGTTATTTGCAAGTTTGTTCTCCGGAATTAACAACAAAAGAAAAAAATAGAGTGGGAGAGTTTAGCTGATACGGTTAACACAGTTGGGTCTGAACATCGCACTGAGTGCATTTAAAACAGAAATAGTGTGGTTTATAACTGAAAAATGTTGCAGTACCCTTAGCAGTCTCAGTGGCGCACCTCATAAGAAGCATGTGATCATGTACTGACATGTTCGAGCATTAACTAGGCTCGAATCCAGCGTCTAATGAATTCTTTCTTTTTTTCCCCGCTACATATCAGATTTTGCCCACTATTTATCAAGAGAAAGACAAGTAGGAATCATCAATAAGTTTGTGCATCATATTTTATTTGCACATTTATTGAATGGAAATGTTTCTGATTCACGCATGCAAATTCATCTTCAGATAGTGTCTTTATAGCAATGTTCGTTTAGTAGATCGCTCAGATTACATTGGGAAAACAGGCGACCGCTGCAAATTGTGCTTTAATGTTTAGCTGGTCAACTGTATGGTATGGAAATCTTAGATACCTACTAGATGAACCCTTGCCATTGCAAGGATCAGACACTTTGTAGAGAAGAATTTAACACAACTGCCTCTAGGAGTCGCCAATGGAAATAAAACAGACACGCACAAAAAATGTGCGTACGCCTGCCAAAAAGCTGCCGTGAACCTGCGCACATTCCCACGTTCAGTTCATTGTTAGTAAATCCAAACGTGAGCGATTCTGAGCGTAAAACCTTGCGTACGCAATGTTTTTGTGCGTACGCAGCGTTGATACATGAGGCCCCAGGTCTAGTGCCCCCCTATGGATTTAAAGTGCCCCCTCAGTTTTGACTTCCTGGCGCCGGGCCTGATCAGCCTGTCGGTCCTCAAGAAGATGGGTTAGGATCCGCTTGTGGGTCATCAAAAACAACCAATAAGTCATTAAGAAGATGGTGTAAGACAACTCATGGATGTTATAAGCAAAGTGATGCAACAATCAGCCAACGGTTCATAACCAAGGTGGTGACGTAAGATCCGCCAGTAGATAATTAAGACGACTAGGATGAGCCAACCCTTCATAAAGACAGGTTTAGAATCAGCCAGCAGGGCATAAAGAAGGCAATGCTATGATCAGCCATCATTAAGAAGATGGGGTTAGGATCCGAAAGCAGATCATTAAAAAGAAAGGGTTAGAATTAGCCAGTGGTTCATAAAGAAGAATGTACTATTGTGGGATCAGCCAGCGGGTGATTAAAAAGACAGCGTTTGGCTCAGTCAGTGGTTCATTAAAGGTCAGGACTATGAGCAACATTCTTAGGCTTTATTTTACAGGATCACGACAAGGAAAATTTTGTAGTAAGGATTGAATTGTGTTGGAAGTGTGTGTAGTTGCTTTCAAAGTGCAGCACACAGATTCTGTGTATACTAGCTGTGTTTGTGTCTCAGTACTGTAAAAGAGGAGCTAACACGTCTCTCTCTTTGCTGTCCACCTCCCTGTGCTGCTGCGCTCTTACACAACCTTGAGGTACGCAGTTCACCGCCCTGCTTACTGATGCCACGCTTACACACGCACATGTGACGGGCATGCCTCACGCTGCAGTCTGTGTTTGTGAAGCATGCGCTAATGACATCCCAGCGTCAACATGACTGCAAGGTGACGATTCCAGGACATAGCTCGCTGCATCAAATGAAATCTGACACTGACTAAATTTTCTTGTCTATTTGGCAAAAGATGGCTCAAGAAGGTTTTCTTTGTCCACAGAGATGGGAACTACATGCGTTAACGTTCATCCTGGACTCAAATCCTTGATACAGCTCAGTGAGTGAAGTGTTAGATTGCAGAAAGTAATGCTGTTGCTCTTGCTTCACAGAGACAATAGGAAGCATGTCCTCAATGGAGGTGAATGTGGACATGCTGGAGCAAATGGACCTGATGGATATGTCTGACCATGAGGCATTGGATGTCTTTCTCAATTCTGGAGGCGAAGACAACAGCGTGGCCTCGCCAATGCTTGGTATACATTCATATAGTGACATTTACCAATCATCAAGCAATGCATTTACCTTCTCTGCAGGTGTTTCTTCTCTAATGTGTGTGTCATTTTCAAGTATAGCTCAGTTGATTTCAGCAGATTTAAAACACTCTGCACTAATGACGCTTCCTGGCGTGGTGTCCCTCCTTAAAGAACTCTTTAGCTTTACTAATGCTGAGATACCTTTAAATTAGTGCTGACATTTACCGCCATAGTCAGCAAAAGAACGCTGATGATGTCTGGGCTGTTTGATTGCATCCAGAGAAGAACAAACAGCTTTTACAATTATCGCTAATTACATTGAGCTGCATCAAAAGCCAAGCTCACTGGATTAAACAGGCAACATCAGGACATTGGAACTGTCCATATGCAAGGTTTTCATGTCTGCAGTTTGCACAAGCAGATGCCCATTAAAGGGACAGTTCACTCCAAAATGAAAATATACTTCCCGTTTACTTACTCTGAACTCACACTGAAAACATAAAAGAAAATATTCTGAAGAATGCTGGGAAAAAAAACACCATTGACATTTACTGTAGAATTAATTAATTCATTCATTCATTCATTCATTCGTTCGTTCATTTTCTTTTTGGCATGATCCCTTTATTAATCTGGGGTCGTCACAGAAGAATAAACTTATCCAGCATGTGTTTTTTTTCGCAGCAGATGCCCTTCTAGCTTTAGCTTTAGCTTAACCAATTCACCAATAGCACATGTCTTTGGACTGTAGGGGAAACCGGAGCACCCGGAGGAAACCCACTCAAACACAGGGAAAACATGCAAACTCCACACAGAACAAAGTCATCCATTGTTTGACGTCATCCATTCATGACACCTTCAGTAAATCACGTTCTAAAATGATACCATAAAGCAAACATAAATAATCTGTAGCGTAATTTTTTTCTTAACATATAGTACCCTAATAATAAATGAAATTAAAAAAAAAAACAGTTTTGACATGTTCCCGTGGTGGTTTGAAGTTGTCTTTTAGCGTACATTAGTATTAACTATAGAGAACTGATAAACTGTAATAAGTACTGTTGTATACTTTGGTTTTACTACAGTAAATTGTGAGGTATTGTACTTTAATATATGCTAGAGTTGCAGAAACCTACAGTATAGTGCCATTTGTTTATATTACCGATGTGTTATCAAAGCAACTGTAGTATCACCAACACATTAATTCAAGAACTTTACTATGGTTCAAAAACTATATAAAACTATGTTACCATTGTATAATTTTTTTTCTGGAATTCATTTGTTAGCTATAAATGCTATATTATGTATAGTATAAAACACTTTACTGAAGTATGTACAGTGGCCGAGAGAGCTTAACGTGCTGCTATTTAAAAAAAAAAACACATGCAATTACAAAAAAACGACAGAAAATTGAGAAAGATCTTCATCTGCTCACATCTTTAAAGTCTCAAAACAAATACACATAAAAGAATGTGTTGCATTTACCCACAACACAAACAATTTACGAAAATGCGATGCATTTTCTCACAACACAAAAAGAACGGAACACAAGAAAAATGTCAAGGGGGACCCAAGCGGCATGCCTCTGTGTCGTAAGTATTGCTCAGTGAAGTAGCATGTGATCTTTGTAAGGTGCTTTTTTTTGTTTGTTTATATTAATATCCTGATTTCTGTGGCTTTAGTTTTTATTAGCTTAAATAACCGTAACCTTAGTAGCCGGGTCCGTCACATTTTTGGGTCTCCTTGAAACATTTCCATTTTGTTGTGAGAAAATGCAGTGCGTTTTCATGACATGTTTGCGTTGTGTGAAAATCAGGAGCATTTTTTAAAAATGTGTTTGCGTTGTGAGAATTTACAGCATGAGTGCTGTCAAACTGACAATGATCTTTTCTCAATTTGCTGGCATTTTTTGTAATTGCATATATTTTCTTAAATTGCAGCACGTTAAGCTCTCTCAGCCACTGTAAGTCCTATTAATTACTACAGTACAATACTATAGCAACCGGAAGCATCACAAAATGACTTTGTCCTCGAAAAATTAGCAAAGCAAGCATAAATGTCAAAATTCCTTTACAAATCAATGGTAGCAACTGGGTAACATGGTGGCAGAGTGGGTAGCAGAATCGCCTAACAACAAGAAGTCTGCAAATCCCGGCTGGGTCAGTTTGCATTTCTGTGTGGAAGTTGCATGTTCTCCCTGTGTTTGTGTGGGTTTCCTCTGGGGGCTCCGGTTGTCCCCACAGTTCAAAGACATGTGATACAGGTGAATTGATTAAACTCAATTGGCTGTAGTGAAGGTGAAGGGTGAGTGAGTGTTTTCCGCTCTGTTTCTGCTGGGTAAAACACATGCTAAATAAGTTGGTGATTCATTCCACTGTGGTAACCCCTGATGAATAAGGGAATCAATAAGTACTTTACTATACTTTTTTTTTTTTACTACAGAAGAAAACCACAGTATTGGGTTATTTGTTTATATTACTGTTGTGTTAACAAAGCAACTGTAGTAAAACCACCAGATTAATTCAAGCACTTTACTATTTACGTAGTTCATAAACACTATAGTACAGTTTACTATGGTAGTTTTTTTTTTATCTGGGATTCATTATCAAATAGTTGTAAAAGCACTATAAATGTCTACAGTACAGTACTATTGTAACCAGATGTGTCCCAAAACGACTCTACCCTCCAAAAAATTTGCAAAGCAATCATAAATGTCAAAACTCCTTTACAAATCAATGAGGGTAGATGACTTGGTTTTCAGAACAGATCTCCTGTCTCTCAAAATCCTCAATGATATCTGATCAGTATAACTTTTCAAATAAAATTTGTATTGCTAATCCCGCTACTTTATTTTGTCTGAATGATTGTATCTCAGGTCCAGACGTAGAGTCGTTTACCTCAGAGATCACTCTTCAGGTGCCCACACAGGCCGATCTGCGGCACAAGCTTGCGTCTCTGTCCTCCACTTGCACAGACTCAGCCAGCCAGGATACAGAGGCAGGGGAAGAGGAGGATGACGATGATGATGATAATGATGAAGATGATGACAGGGTACAAGCAGCCAGCATTCTCCCTCCGCTTGTCCAGCCAGATCAGGAAGAGGTGGATGAGGAGGGCACGTTACCCGAAAGAGTACAAAACCAGCCAAACAATAACTGTGAGAGCAGTCGATCGTCCTGAAAACACAGAGAATGAGTGACAGACTGTAAAAGAAAGTGTGCTATGCATTAGCGTCCAAAGGAAGAGCGTGTACTTGTTTTATGAAACCCTTTTGGTTTTTGTAAACATATTCGTTGTTGTGTGTTGTGTAGTGTAAGCCCGATCCTGTGCCTGCCCTCCAAAATCAATAAATATCTTTTATTCTGTTGGACAGTCACTGCTTATAGCATAAAGCCGGTCTATTGTGTTGCCACTGATGAAAGTTGCGTAAGGGATAAAGCACATCCAGGAGGTTTTTATATAGAATAAAGCCCAACTAGCTTATTGCCAGCTGTATAAGACTAGAGGGCTTTATTCTGTGAGAACTGCATGAATGTACTTTATCCGATTATTATATGAATACTTGTCCGTAAAATTGTATTCAATATTTAATAAAATGCAAAGACAGAAACAAAAATGGCTGAACGAAGCATACTCTAACTTGCATATTATTCAGTCACAAGATGGCGCCAGTCAAAAACAGTGGCGGGACAGACAAGCAAATAGAAGTGAACGTATTCACTGATGACCAAACAAGCAGATGATTTATGGTATTATTACACAGCTTTCTGGAAAGCTTGATTCTGATTGGTCAGTCAAAACATTTTAAGCTGTGTTTAATTTGAGCCGAATCTTGCCGGATCCTGTTTCGAGAAATGTCATATATTCGTGTTTTGTGTTCCGGCATTTATTTGAACTAATACGGCATTAACTTTTTTGTGGTGAATACCTGCACATGTGTGTGTGTGTGTATGTGTATGTGTGTGTGTGTGTGTGTGTGTGTGTGTGTGTGTGAGAGAGAGAGAGAGAGAGAGAGAGAGAGAGAGAGAGAGAGAGAGAGAGAGAGAGAGAGAGAGAGAGAGAGAGAGAGAGAGAGAGAGAGAGAAAATGTGAATAAGTCTGAGTGAAAACAGCGAGCAAAGCTGTGTGGATGGTGTGCGTACACACACATAAAGATAGGCACTTTCGACCAGTCAGCTTTCTTACATTTACAATCACTGTCATTGATAGGTGATTATTGTTTCGCGCACAGTGAGCAGCTAAAATAAATAAGGGTAGAGTGCCCTACATAAATAATATTTGTATTTTCAATATGTCAGAGGCAGTCAAGCATATAATATTTTTTTTTAAACCATGAGTAAATCTGATCTCGAGAAAATGAAACTATGCCCCTGGATGTAATAATAATAATAATAATAATAATAATAATAATAATAATAATAATAATGATAATAATAATAATAATAGTAATAATAATACTAATAATAATAATAACGATGACAGCCATATTGTGCCAGACCTCACACCAGCGGATTGGTGGAGAGGAGACAGAGTGAAGCCAATTATGATATGGGGATGGTTAGGAGGCCATAATAGATAGGGGCCAGTGGGCAGATTTAAATTTCCATTCTTATTTTTACTTAAGATATATTACTTAAAATAAATATTTACTCACTATTTTCTCACCTTCAAGTGATTCCAAACCATTGAGTTTTTTCTCTGGTGGACACAAAATAAAATATTTTTTAAAAATCTGAACACCTGTAACCATTGACTTTCATTGTAAAAAAATAGTAGAAAAAACAAATTTTATGAAAGTCAATGGTTACAGATTTTCAGCTTTCTTCAAAATATCAACTACATTTTATGTTCGACAAAAGAAAAAAAGTGGTTTAAAAACAGTTCGAGGAGGAACAGATGGGTAAATTATTACATAATTTTCAGTTTTAGGTGTAGTATGCCTTTAAGGACATAGCATTAATAATATTAATTAATTATTAATTTACTTAAAAAGTTATGTTACTATTAGCATTAAAGGTGCAGTATGCAAGTTTGACACCCAGTGGTTGAACTAGGTTTTGCACTCTTGGATCAAAACAAATGCAAGCACAGGTTGCCAGATTGAGGATATAGAGCAAGTGATTTAAACTTTAGAGTTTTTGTCCTAACCAACACCTCCAACTGATATTAAAAACAGCTTCTATTTCTCACAGGTGAACAACAGAAAACTATGACAATGATCACCTCAGGTAAACCTCAAGCGCTTTATTTAGTGTTAAATGCTAACAATGTGAGCTTAAATGCCATTTTACATGACATTTATTATCATATCTGAAAGCAGAAGCAGATAGTTTACCTCAGATCTTAAAAAATAAAATAAAACACTTGAAATTTTACTTTAGAACTAAACACACATGGGTGATTCAGCATGTACATTTAATAATGTTAAAAGGGGTTATTATATATTAAATAGATTATAAACCTTAACATTTCGTTAGTGAGTGCATGTTCTGTGCTTCTGAATGGCTGTATTTAAACTTCTGTCGTGTTTCATCTGGTCAAGAAGTGTGTTGTTAGGACAAGCGTTTACAATGTAACCTGCTATCTACTGCTAATTAATAACCTCATATGAAACTGAATCGGTCTCATTTCGTAGTCTGTTACAGTCCACCGAAGGTTGAATTTTGGTCACGGACGCATGCTTTTAGAGCCTTTCTGAACGAATGAATAGAATACGGTTTTCCACTAAGGCACCGCGGTATGCTGAAATATAATGGGCTAAACTGCCAATGAGCAGGTTAAAATTACCAAAACAAAGGCCGCATTCCGGCACAGAAAACACATTTTCAAAGCAGAATATCTAACTTCAATAGTGTTTTTTCAGACAAATATGTTCACTTGGCAGGTTTCTTAAATATTTGCTGGTATTTTTTATATATTATAAATATTATATATATTATACAAAAACTTACATACAATTACATACAACACCTTTAATATTTTTAACAAAAGTTATACAATGAATGTTATGAAGCATTTCATGTTCTGTAGTTCAGAAAAAAACGACCTTAAACACATTGTATTCTAAAACAGTGAGGTTAGTAAAAAAGAAACAGACTGACAGTGAATTATCCGTGAGATTTTTATTAAACTTTAAAGTATAAATTGAAAAGGTAAAAAACAAAGAAAAAAAATCAAACTGACATAATAACCAACATGAAATCTTTCATGAGACAAAAAGCTGAGACACAGTGCTAATAAATTAACTTGCCTGACCATGAACAAATATCTCCTTTTATAGAAAAAGGAACAAAAACAGCAAAAAAAATAAAATTAAAAAAATCTCAATAAAATACATAGTAAGGCCATTAAAAACTTGACAACTGCTGTTCTTTGATGAAAACAACTGACTTGGTTTTTATTAAATACTCCTAAAAGTTCAGTCTTCAGATAAGGACAACAACCAACAAACTGGATTATAGTTCCTTTTTTCCTTGACAGTCACAACTGGCAAGCTCAGTGCAACATGAGTAGCTACTACAATGTTGAATTTTCAGTAATGAAAATGTAAAAACCTCATTTTTTTTGTGAAATATTTTCCCTTTTCTTTAAAAAAGTAAACCTAAAAAACAAAACTAGGGGGAAATCGCAACTCTGTATCTTCGTCCTCGATGTAAGCAGCACTTAAAAATTATACACATTACCAGAGCAACCCTGTACTTAAAGTCCACCAGCTGAAGAAACTGAAATGTAAGGCTTATTCTTCATCTGACATCATCCGTCTATGTAGCTATCTATCCTTTTCTTCCGTCACTCCGACAAAGGCTCAAGTATTAAAGACATTTACAGGATTATGTACACAAAGTTTCTTAAGATTTTTTTTTTTCAATCAATGATACTTCTGCAAAAATGAAGACAAAACAAAAAACAAATAATAATAACAATAATAATAATAAAAAAAAAACAACAACAACAAACTTGGACTTGTATTTCACATTTTACACCCCCCGAATAGTGGCTCTAAATTGAGAAAACATCAGAAGAAAAAAAGAAAATTAAAAAAAGGCAAAAACAATAATTACAATAATATAACATAATAATTATCTTTACAGATGAATCAGTAAATCTGGAAGAATGGAATGTTTACACGATTGCACATTTAGAAGCGGAAAAAGAAACTTCCGTCCTGTGGGATAAGAAGGCTAGCAGACAGCACTTCTTTGTATTACCTTTTTGTATTGTTATATTGTGTACAAAAAAAGGAGAAAAAATAAAATAAAACAAAAAAACAGCACCAACATTAATAAAAGATCTATCTCCCAGCTAAACATCAGGCACAGTTATCATTCAAAAGTATCAGTGTGAGAGGAAAACCTCTCATTATCGGGATGGGACCCGCTTATTCATTCCCTAAAAAACACCCACTTCCTCCATGATCCTCTGCCAGGGAATAAAGCACTCCCTGGAGGTAAGTGTGAACTTAAAATCTGCCAAATCACACACAGCATTTCCTCTTAAAAAAATAAAAATAAAAAAAACTAACAAAAATAAACAAGAGATATTACAACAAGCTAAATTTCAAGTGTTTATCATCTTTAGAGCTGCGTCTTCCGCAAAGGAGCTGCATGGGGACTAATCTGATTCAAATAAAAACAGAGGTAATGGCAAGAAACAAAATGAAACTGAAAACAGCAAGAAAAACACTTTGAAAAAAAAAATAATAACACAAATACAGAGGAGAAAAAAGAAAACAAAAAATAACAACATAAAAAAAAAAAAAAACGAGAATCAAACAAATATAAAATCAAAAAAGCCTAAATAAAACATGGAACAAAATCCACGCACACATACTCAAAAAACAAAACAAAGAAAGATAAAATAAACAAAATAAACAACAACAAGAAAAAAAGAAAACCAAACACACCATCCTAGAAAACAAAGCAAGCAAAAATAAACAAGCAAAAACAAAATAATAAAAATGAAATAAAATAAATAATCCTTGGGCAGCTCCATCTAGCAACAACATTCAACTGAAAGGGGGGGCTAGGGGAAAAAAAAAAAAAAAAAAACAGGGAAAAAAGCACCCATTTGTCCCACAGTTCACAGTTCAGGTGGAGCTTGTGTGTTTGTGTGCAGTCGATGGGGCTGAAGAGGAGGACGAACATGGTGACATCATACTCACACCTGTCAGTGAAACACCTGGGACAGTGTCTCTTAATGCTATCAAACATCTGGTGAATTCAAAACTAGTGCGCTAGTGCAAAAAAAGGCAGCCTGCTTTCAACACAGATATATCTGCCCTGCTAGGTGGGTGATAAAAGACAAACGATATGAAGAAAGGAAAATGATCGGTTGATTTGGGCAACAGGGCGGCGTTTATCATGAGACGGCAGCAGCGGCACTTTTGGATGGGTGGGTTGGCAGAGGGATGAGAGTAATCTTCATGGATTCCCTCTTGCGAGGGCCGCGTTTGGCCGGTGGTTTAATGGGACTGGAGCCATTACAAACTTCTGACCCGCTTCTCACCAGTGCTTTACCACACACCTGATTCACCAAACTGTTGATCTGTTCCTGCAGGGACATACAGAGATGGGGAAGAAACGTTTAAAACTTTTGGCTGGTTGTATACAGTGGTAAAAACAGTACTAAAAAATCATACTTGACTTCATACTCGACTCAAAAACCATTACTTGCAGAAAATATAATTAAACTAAGTGAAATTTCTGCCATGAAACTCTATGCATGTGCAGGCTGATAGGTTCACCTAATCTGCCCCTGCATCATTAACTACATGTCACAGGAGATTGGTTGCTGTCACCTCGGCAGCCAATGAGCTTGCTCCTCATTAGTTCAAATGCTCCACATTTTACGCTGTTAAGCTGAGACCCTCCTCCACCACAGTTCCACCTGTGTTTAGATCTGCTACAGGGGTTGCATATACAGTTAAAGTCAGAATCATTAGCCCCCCTGAATTATTAGCTCCCTGTTTATTTTTTTCCACAATTTCTGTTTCACGGAGAGAATATTGTTTCAACACATTTCTAAACATAATATTTTTAATAACTCATTTCTAATAACTGATTTATTTTATCTTTGCCATGATGACAGTAAATAATATCTGACTAGATATTTTTCAAGACACTTCTATACAGCTTAAAGTGACAGTTAAAGGCTTAACTAAGTTAACTAGGCAGGTTGGAGTAATTAGGCAAGTAATTGTATAACGATGGTTTGTTCTGTAGACAGTAGAAAAAAATAACTTTAAAGAGGCTAATAATATTGACCTTAAAATAGTTCATAAAAAAATGAAAAACTTCTTTTATTCTAGCCGAAATAAAACAAATAAGACTTTGTCCAGAAGAAAAAATATTGTACCAAATATTTTGCAAAAAATTCTTTACTCTGTTAAACATCATTTGGGAAATATTTAAAAAAAGAAAGAAAAAAAAAGAAGAAAAACTCAAAGTGGGGCTAATAATTCTAACTTTAACTGTATATTATGTTTGCAGCAGCAGTGTTATATTCTCAGATGGTATGTCTGTGTATACACTGGCATTAGCAGATCTCTGTACTTGCTCTGCCATAATAATCAAAGCAGCAACATAGCAGATCTATACCGCCAAGACCAAATGCATCAACCTTGCCATACACATATTCATTACCATACTAAATCCCAAGAGTGTTCATGACAGAAAGTATATAATGTATGCAAGTAATATTGTTTTGTTCGTTTTCTGTTGCTAATGTACCTAGTGTCTAGAAATAAAGTACTAAATACTATATTTCTAAAAAGTAGCCCCTCTTAAAGTATTCAAGAGTAGTGAGAATTCTGAAAGTATTTAAGAGCAGAGGGAATTGTGCACCTCTTAAAAAATAGAACTACACGTTGTGACAACCAAACTCTGTGATTTGTCGGCAAGGTAGTGTTGATAAGTGTGGGTAGGCCCGAGAGTCACAGGAGAGGAACTAGCCCATTGACGTGAGTGTTTAACAGGTGTCGAGTCCCGTGGAGAAGCTCCAGATGCATACTTTTGTTTTGTGCTTACATTATGATTAAAGTTGTTAAACAGCCAGTAGTTCCCACCTCTGAATGAGCAAGTTTGAGCTATTTTCACAGTAAATTAACATTAAAGGTATTTACGGTGTAAACAAAACAATTAAAAAGAAATAAGACACAGAGGAACACAGAAACCCCTTTGCCAGCTAGCATTTCAGAAGTGTTTTTGCAGAGCAACACAAACAGAATGCAGAAGCGTAAATCTATTGCTATGTGCAAGGCATGCACCAACGTGTGATCACTTAGCACAGAAGTATAATTCAGCCTTAAGAGTTGTCAAGTGTAACGCGTAAATTAAAAATTCTAAGTGTAAATTAAATAATTTTCCACTGGTTTTTCCATGTATTAATACATTTAAAATGTGAGATTATTGTAATTGATTGAATTAATATATGCACCTATAATAAATTGAGAGAAAGCAGGTTGGTGGGTTTAAATATGCAAATAATTTCATGAATTGTGAGCTATATTTGCATCTCCAGCACAAAACATTATATGAAGTCAGTTTCAGAAATGTAAATATATACAGTGCTCAGCATAAAGGAGTACACTCCTCAAGATCTCTCTTTAAAATTAATATTTTATAGGATGCTTTACAATAAGATATGTGTGTATATGCATTAGAATAGACGGTACCAGACTTCACTACAGTCTAAAAATTAGTACACCCAAATATGACTTCTTTTTATGAACAGAAAAAAATCTAGAGTTTAAATAAAAAAATTTCATTTAAATAAAAATATTACATTTTGTTGAAATTTTGAAGCCTGTAATTTTTGTTTTGCAATACCTTGATTGAATTATAATGTATTTCCTTTCTATTCCTAAAGACATTACATTATTACACTCTTATTTTAATGGATATAATGGTTTAATAAAACCATTTTGCTAAAATGTACCGTAAATTATTGAATATATTCAATGAGAAATTGATAAAATTATTAATTTTCAAAAGGCAGTGAACTAATTTATGCTGAACACTATGTGCACTGTTTTATTTTATTTGTATTAATTTTATAACAACACTGTAAACAGAGAGAAATATATAATTTATTTTGTGGAATGACATTTAATGTAATATAGACTAAAATGTAAGTTTAGTGTATGCAAATTAACCTGCCTGTAATTGCCTCACCTTCTATAAATTAAATATACAAATATGGAGAACAATACTATATATTTAGAGATGAAAAAAAAAAATAAAAATAAAAATTGCATTTGAGAGCTAACCAGAATCAATTAAAAAAAAATCAATAGAAAATACTATTCAGAATCCACTGAAGCTCATTTGCATTTGGAGATATGTGTTTGCATTCAATTAATGGCAATGTTTTCCAAATAATCATCACCAGCATTTGCCAGAGCACAATAATTCAGCAAGCGACAGCAACAGCTCATTTAGGAGGATTGCTAATTGCTGAATATTTCCCTTAAACAAATACATCTCAACAGCTCCCCCTGCAGGCCTATTTCTCACCTCATCATAGCGGTACATCATCTTGAGTCCGCGGCAGTTTTTGTGTTTCTCCACATAGTGCAGCGCACACTCCAGACAGAACACCACATTCTCGTTCTCCTGCACCACCTGCAGCATTGACAAGATTCATCAGCTCAGTTATATAGTTCACATTTAAAATTCTCAGCAGGTCTTCTGTTAGTGATGAATCAAAGTGAATAATTAGCATGTTCAATATTAAAACATTTCAATAATTTTTTTTACAAATATAATACACATTGTCAAACCTACTTTAAGATCCAGAGTTCAGAAAAAGGACGTATATATACACAAAATAAAAAAAAAAGAAATAATAGAAATTATTAAATAAAGTTTCATGGGGATGATTACACCACTTTTATTTAAAAATATATATGAGACATTCTACTAAATCGTACATTAACTGTCCTTGAAATAAAAATGTAAATACAGTGACTAAATGCAAAAAAATAATAATAATAAATAAATAAATAAAAAATTCAGAAATAGACTAATAGTTTACTTCTGCGAGTTGTTCTGTAAAAGAAATATGTCATTCATTTCACTTTATTAAAAACAATTTACAAACTTACACACCCTGTCATTGTCCTTGTCCTCAGCCAAATTGACCCTACACCTTTAATGATTTTGATATGCTAAAAATATGATATGTTTCATTCAGTCCTGTCACATTTGCATTAAATATAACATAAAATGCGTGCAATAAAGGTTTAAGGTTATAACTCGGAGGAAGTGACGGAATAGAAGCTGACAGTAATCAAGGATGCGTTCAATAATTGAATTGTATGATTTTATGCTTGTTTTTGTATGATCTTTTAAGGAGAACAAGCCTAACGGTCAGGCCTGGTCACATTAATTAGAAGTGAAAATGTACATTTCTATGTTTTCAGAATGTCCCATATGATCTATTCATAAAAATATTTAGGACTTTAATTATTTTAAGCAAATTTTCTAGGACCAGAGAGGGGTGGTGATCGGAACAGAAAAGGTCTACATGTCAGGAATTGAGCTTGGGATGCCTGCAGTTTAGTTGTGCTATATATAGAGACGCACTGACCATTAGGTTGTTAATGCCAACAACATTTTATTTATTATTTTTTAAATATTTATCTTATATTTTTACACAATTTTAAAACTAATTTGGATCTTACATTGGTCACCTAAAGTGTCTCTTTCTTCTGGCTGAGGTTTCAGGCATTGTACAAAGCATTCTTGTATTATTTATGTATTTATTTATTATTTATTTATTTATTGCCACATCAGCAAGTTATGGCTATTTTGTGGTAAAATGGATATACATAAAATATTACATGATAAAAACAAATTCATATTACAATAAAAAATACTTAGACAAATATATAAAATATAAATAGATAAAATTCACACAAAAATATATTAAAAGTTAAATATGATTTTTCAGTTCAATTTTTGATAAATAATTTAAGATTCTTCCTGGTGGTACCTTTTTAAAGGGTCCATCAAAGTACTCTCCTTAAAAAAAAAAAAGTTGTCTAATGGTATTAAAACTTCCACATTCCAACAACATCTGTTTTATGGTAAGAGCAGCCTGACAGTAATTACATTTAGGTGGTGCTTCGCTATTCAGTAAATATAAATGTGTCAACCTAGAATGTCCAATTCGACATCTAGTATAGACAGTTTGATCATGACAGGTCTCAAAATTATAATTTGCTAAATGTCTTTCATTTATTTTCAGGTTAATTTCATGTAATTTATTATTTATGGAGTTGTCCCATTCCCTTTGCCATGTTTTGTTTATGTACAAATTGACTGTACATTTTTGTATTAAAATTAATATAGTATAGGCTGTAAAGTATGCTTGAAATTAAATATGTGCATCCTAAATCATAATGCTTAAAAACAAAAAAACAACTACAAAGTGCAAAGGTGATATAACATATATAGGTGATATAGTGGGCATATTCCTGGAGTCCCAATGCTGCACATTTTCGATGTCTTCTTTGTCTGGAACAAACATTTCAGTTCTACAGTTCTATTAATAAACTGTATCAGGTGTGCAAATTATGCCAAGCATCCCAAGGAATGCATATGGTATTTATATACCAGCAAAAATTCTCCTGTTCTGCTTGCCCCAACCCAAGTAGGATGATTCGCAACCAGCAATTCCATCAAGACATCAAATCAAGGGCACATATCAGCTGCAAAGTGCATGCTTGCTGGCACCCCTCTGAAAGTTAAAATGACTGGGGCACACTACAGTCATTCAAACATGGCAGCCATCATAAGTCTGCAAGACCACAAGTGTGCATGAAGTGTGCCATCTGAGATTTGGCCACCGTCCTGCAGAGTTCAGCTCCAACCCTGATCAAGTACACACTAACCAGGTCATCGAAATCTTCAGGGTTACTTGAAAATAGCATGTTGGAGCACGGTTGTAACTCAAGTCCGTAGGAAGTAAGCTCTCCACCGTGGTGATCTGAGCTCTGCAATCAATGGCATAGATTTGCTCTTGACATTGAAGGGGACCAAATCCAACACCCACTTAAAAAGTCACTGCTAAAGTCACATGTTACATGTTTCTACTGAAATCTACTAATTCAGACTGTTGGAAAGGGGTCGGGATATGCCAAAATAATTGTTTTAACTCGATTATTGTTTTTTATAATCGTCGAAGGCCATAATCCAATTTAAAACTGAATAAGGCCTATTTATTATTAACTCATTCAGCAGCGAACTCATTCAGTTTTGCTGCCATCCTCATTCACTTTTGACGACCATGTGTCAACATTGTATCGAATCCTCATAGAGAACTTGCACATTTGGTGCTGCTAACATCCAAATTTAGCTACAGCCTCTCACATAATGTTTGAGAAAAGTATGACTGGGAGAATGTTATTTAACGATCTGCTTTTATTTAAATTTAATTTTAATGATATTTAAATAGCTCCTATTAAAAGTTTTTGAAAATGACCTTCCATGTAGTGTGTAACAGCTCTAAGTTAAGTGAAATATCCAGCTAATGCTTAAATATGAAAGTGTACAGTGTTTAAAACTATTGATTCATTTATAAAAGAGTCAACTCATAGTGCTTCAAATTAATAGTCTTGATAGTGAGTCATTAGCCGTTTCGGCGTAACATGGATATGAAATTTAAGCCCCGCCTAATTGTTGCGTGTGCAAACTCAGGAAAATTGAAACCTGCGGCCCCTCCCACAAACAGTAGCAAAGAAAAAAAAGGAAGACAAGCACTGTAGCAGACGCTGTTTGAATTAAGTCATGAAGACACTGTGGGATATTCTGCTGGATATTATTGGAAGTGTGAGGGAAAATTTGTGTTATTTTCTCTACACAAAGATGAAACTGTGATTGAGTGGTTGAGGTTTATTTTTGAAAAAATACCTCAGCATTATAGCCCAGCCTTGTGCAGTTTGAGTGCTTTGCGGACTATTCTGCTGCCCAAGGTGGCTGCCTAGGTCGCCTTTATGGATGCGCCGGCCCTGATAACTCTGTTGAGAACCGGGTACTGTGAACTATGGTGTTAGTAACTACTATGAAGCTATGAAATTATGGGAGTTTTCCGGGATAAATGACAAAATGGGTGGGTGGCTAGAGATGGGTCTGAAATACAGGAGACTCTTGGGAAAAACAGGACTGTTGGCAGGTATGCTTACACATACACTATGCACTGTGGCTATTTCAATATTGTTGATAAGACGTGCTGGGCATTTCACTCTGTCTCGTGCTGAACGCTGTCGACCAATCGCAACAGGTTGTCATCTGTCCAATCAGCGCAGATTAGCTTCGCGCTAAGGGGGGATTTGAGAACAAATGAATCGCTGAACAACTCGAATGGGAGTCACTGGGATAATCAGGTAAAAATAATTGCATATTATAAGACCTTTTGCATGCAAATCAGCCTGTTGTTGGATACCTTAAAAACAAAATATGACCCTTTTAAATGTATAATAGGGGCTCTTTAAAATGTTTTTTTTTTTTTTTTTTTGAGGGGATTACATTTTTGGTTGAGACAATTCAGTAATATGTGGATATTGCTAAGGACATGACACCTCCGTCCATGCTAATTCAATACCCTTGTATGCAATGCAGGATAATATAACCTGATATAATCTCACCATAGATAAGTAGCAGAGGTGCTGGCACATTTGGCAGCGCCTCTCTGATGACTCCAGTGCCAGCCACTTGCGCGGCTTCTTCCTGGTGTCAGCAGGTGATTGGTTGTGGTCATGAGTGCAGTAGCGTGCGGAGGAGAGCAGCCCTGCTTCATACAGCTCCTGCCTTTGCTTCATCTCTATGTTCCTGTTGGACATCAACACACACTCTCTTGACAATTGCTTTACAGAGGGCTGTAATGGTTAAGAAAGTTTATTGCAGTAATGATTTGACTGGTGGGCAGGCTGGCAATGCTCACCTGAGATCTTTGAGAAGAGAAGAGATTGTACTGAGCACAAGTCTGTTTTCTCGTTTGGCCTCAGCTGTGGCGATCTGATACAGCAGCTTCTCCATAGAGAAGGGTTTTGCTATGCGCCTGCATTTCAGGTCCTGTGAAAAAACAGCAAACGCACATAAACATCTATAGCCTAGAAATGTCCATGTGCAGCACACGTTTTAAAGCTTAATCCTTTTCTGTACTGACAGTTCAGCTATTTAGAGGAGAGGTAACCACATTTTACAACCAAATTATTTAAGGCCTGCTGGTATTATATGCATCTATAGCAGTGGTTCTCAAACTGTGGTACGCGTACCACTAGTGGTACGCGGGCTTCCTCCTAGTGGTACGCGGAGGAATCGCCAAATAATGAAATAAACAATTAACACTTTTAATCCTTTGATGCGTACTATAACATCGATGTGATCAGCATTGGCTGTTTAGTGAAGCGTACGATCACAGCTCTTTGCTTAGAGTGTTTATTTTAGTGCATTGTGTCATAAGCTGTTATAAATCAGTTTCCGAAGTTCAAGAATTGATTCTGAAGCGTGATTTGACTGACATGAAAAGTAGCCAATCACAGTCGACCTTGTCTAGTTTTGCGTGAAACGTAAGGGCGGGACAAAGGCTTTCTGTGTTGCAGAGACAGAAAAAACAACTTAAAAACAAATGTTTTGTTAATTTAGTTGCTTCTCGGATGTTTTCACTATAGAAATGTCTAGCAGAGTAATTAAACCGCGGACATATTTCCTGCCTATTTTATGATCTTCATACACGTTTCGCTCTCCGACAGCGAGTCGACTCGCCTCTGACCTGTCACTCCTCTATACAGTCTGAATGGCGGTGCGGGAATGGAGGTATTGCGCAATAACTCATTTCTGCAAATGCGGCGAGTGCTTTATTTTATCACGAGAGCGCATTAATGTACGCAAATCGCTAAAACAGTTATGCGAGCTCTTAAATAGGCTTTTTTCAAATGAACTGCAAGTGCTCTCATGATCGCCTGCGTGCTCAGATTGAATACAATCGCGATCTTTCCACTAATAAAGTAGACATTTATCTTTGCTCCTTGACTAAATTTAATCAAAAGTATTCAAATTTATCAAGTATTTAGAAATAGATTGATGCATAATCGATGACAATGCTAATGGTCTTCTTGTTTGGCTGTGTTGTGAAGTGAAACTTACTTTTAGCAAAGGTGGATTTTTTATTTCTTTACGACAAAATAATTATGCTGGAAATGTTTCTGGATGAAGTATTTGTGTGATTTATACATTTAGCTGTATTCTGATCTGTCTTAAAGCATTAAAGGTCAAAGCAATCCGTTGTTACTTATTGTTTATTTATCATAAATAACAATAAGGCTCTTAAAGCACTGCTTTGATAAATGTAGTGTTGTCATATTTTAAATACCTCAAGTAAAATTAAGTCATTTGTTTTATTTTTTTTTAACTGACAGTGTACTTGTATTTTTTAAAGTTTGTATTTTAGATTAAGCTCAAGTGTAAAATAAAATCTCCATGTGATGTACAGCTATTTAAGAAAATAAATTTGCCATGTTGTAAAGAAGAATAGTGTAAAATATGCAAATAAAAGGCTAAATTTAAATCTTTTTACCATATACTTTAATTAAACCTTTCAAAGCTTGCAAATATTGTTTAAAAATGGGCAAAAACTGTCTGGATGGCCTTAAAGATTATGTGGTAGTTTTACCAGTGCTATTGAAAAAGATTAATTGTCATGAAAGGAAAAATCGGTCACACTTCCTTTGTTAGTGCAAGTTCCTATACATGTAGCTTTGGGATTTAAGCAATTAAACCATTCAATCAAGTTTACACTTAAAAAAGTGATTTCATAATGAAAATCAGATTTTTTAAACTAGTACTTATTAAAAGAGTACTTTGTACTTTTACCTAATATTAGTATTATTTACTAAAATTTGTGTTATTTTAGCAGTGTAATAGTATTTTTACTTGAGTACAAAAAAGATTTTACAAGCATTTAGTGCAGGTTTATTATATTATTAATATATGGTTAATAAATATTATTATTATTATTATTATTATTATTATTATTATTATTATTATTATTAATTTTATTTTATTATTATTATTATTAATGGTTTTTATTTGTGTCTATTCCTATATAATGTTTTATGGGTTGCTGAGAATACATTTCAGGTCTTCAATACATAGCATGTCAGTCTTGAAAAAATAGGTGCTGGAATTGATTTTCATTAGGCTGTCCCTGTATGAACCCTGTCATATGTACATTTAACATTTATTTCAAGATTTGTCTGAAAGTGTATGAATATGACATTTAGCCTATATTTATAAGGTCCAAGCAACATTTCCAACTTTTGATGAATAGGCTACTATGAAAACTTTAGATTTAAGTACTGCAGTTTTCTTTTTACTTTTTAAGAACAGTGCCATTTTTTAATGAACTTTTAAAAGCCCATTTTAACTAAAACGTTTTTTTTTTTTTACCTGCAAGCACAGTTAATGTTCAGACTATTTAAAATGTTTAAAGTGACTGACAATAATACATATTCTAAATAATAGAAATTAATCTGCATTGTTTTTAACAATGTGCACACCTGTAGCTGCTTAATTAGGCCTACGACGCTATTTTTTAATACTGGTTAAAAAATAGCATCGTAAGGTGGTACTTGGAGAGACAACTTTTTTCTAAGGTGGTACTTGGTGAAAAAAGTTTGAGAACCACTGATCTATAGAATTAAAAGTGGCCAATGCTAGGACTGATGTAAACATGATTTAACTTGTTTAGTTTTTGACCATTTCTATACAGTAGGTATATTGATTGCATTGCTTTCATAGTAAAGTATCATTAGTGTTTAGGTGTACTTAGTTACCAAGTAACTAGCTTCTTAAATTACTTTTTATCTGGAAAAAGTAAGGGATTACTTTAGGTAATTTAATTAAAGTCACTTAAAATATTCTTGTCTTAAATACTTAATGCAAAGTTGAAGAGTTCTGTATAAATTAATTCAGAGAAGCAGCATAATTGTATTTTTGTTTGTTAGACAAATACATATATTTGCAGAATATCCCAACTATAGTTATATTTGTCAGAGGATTACACACACACCTAAGAAACAATAAATTAGGTAAGAAATTAATGTCAATATATGAAGAGTTAGGATGCAAAAGCCTCAAAGTACCATCTGAAATGTTCTTTTCAAATAAGCATTTTTCTCATCGTCTTATGTTCAGTTATTTCAGTTTAAAGGCAATGAAAAGAATCCATTCATCACCATAAATGAGAAATGATCAAACCTGCACATAAGAGCTTTAGAATAAACATTCAGATGGCAGAGAGGCTTTTGCATCTGAATTCTTTATAGGGTAGGTAGGAAACATGTTTTGTTTAATATGGTGCAACTGCCTTGAAATGTTTTGTGTTTTGACACAGGAGTTTAACTAGAAGTATAAATCTTTTTTTTTTAAAGCTAAAAGTCCCTGTTAAAAGTTTTATTCCATTCTGCATTCTTATATGATAGTTATTTTGATATTACTAGCTTAAGTATTTCAATGATTTATTGAGTGTTTAAGTTATTTTTAGACAAAGTATTTAATAAAGTAACTTTAATGATGCCATTGAAAATTAAATACTTTTTAAGGTAACTTACTCAACACTGAATATCAAGTGGTCAAATGCAGGCAATTAGCCACAAAAGACCAACTTGTCTTAGAAAGCCCACCACAACATTGTACCCAAACAAAACTGTATACAAACAGACATTGTTTACTTGCACTCGCTCATTTATAAGATACTTAAATGTTTTTTTTTTTCATTCAGTAGTACTCATGTTGCACTAAGCATTCCCATAAAAGTGAAGCTGAAAGTAACAAAATGAGAGGGTGTCAACAGTCCTGCAGAAGTATGAAAAAATGTGAAAGTCTCACCTTAGCAGCCTCGTAGCCCAGGTTCATCCACTGTGGTGTGGCAAAGTGCACAGTTTCAGACACACTGTAGCCACAGCACACCCTGGACACAAATGCACCGGGGAAGACCACCACAAACTGCCCACTCTGCTGAACTGTACGATGGACCTTTATTCCCTCACGACAAAGCACCTCTGGAGAAATCTGGTAATAAACAAATGCGGAGACGCATTAAAAATCAGAATGAATGAAAGTTGTAACAGCCTTTTCCCTATTTAGACTTAATGGCTTCTCAAACAACAACAAAGATGGCTGTGGTTTGCTATAGGGTGATGTCAAGTGCACATTGACAAAAAAGCAAAAATATATTATTATTATTATTTTATATTATTATTATTATTATTAATAGTATTAAGTATAATTTGCAATATCTCACCATAACATTCTTCTCCAGCATTTCCAGTCCCGGCGTTCCATTGGCCTGTAGCAGTGTGTGCACCACTTTATCAAGCTTTGTCTTTTCCTCAGCAGGAATAGAATACCTATAATAGGATGGGCAAAACTTCCTGTTATTGTCATTGTCTGCATGACATAACACAACAGCACTGTCTCTAGCGTCTCCTAAACCAGATTTGTTGCCATGGAAACAGAACTTGGCTTTATGATGATGAGTCATGCACATAAAAAAAAGAATCACAGCTGATCCTCTCGTGAGTGGAATGAAGACTGTACTTCACTGTATGAATTACAGAGCACAGAGCCCTCTAGAGGAAGAACATTTTAATACATATAACTTTGTAAAACGAGCCTTTTTCACAAATACAACATTGTCATTGTTATCCAAATCTTTGCAAGTAATTAAAATAAATTGTAAAACTAAATGGCTAAATATCAAGTACTAAATAACCAAATTTTAATTATTAAACCTAATATAAAATTAAAGGAATGCTATATAAATATTAAAACTATATATATATATATATATATATATATATATATATATATATATAATTGTTGGCACTGCTGGCAATAAACACAGAGTGCCAGCAGATCAATAAACGCACTACAGTTTAACAAATATTGCAGCTGTTGGACGACATAAAGTACTTTTGAGGTTTTTTAGGCGAGAATATAGTTGTTTAGACTGCAACTACACAGTTTATTTATAAGGATATTGCCAATTTTAAATATTTATAAATTATAGCGCGTCAAAATTCATTAGCCTGTCATTGAGCAGAGCAAAGACGGTTGACATTGTCCATCCACTAGATGGCGAGAGACTGCATAATAAACCCTTAGAGGAGAAAAGATTGGCATATTTTCAAACTCCAGCTGATCAAAATATTATAAAACTGGTGAGTGACATCCTAAGTCGATCTATCTCTTTTTTATGTTGCAGTGCTGTTTAAATATCATAGTAATTGTAGTGTATGGAGTGTGAGATGGGATTCATAGATCAGGAATATATGTATTGTATGTTGGCCACTCTTTGTATAACCCTGAATACATTTTGGTAGGCCATTTGTTTGATGGCATTTCATGCAGTTCAGCCCTATAATCTTAAAATGTTAGCAAAATCACCAGTTTTGTCATTACTTTAGATATTACGGTAGGGAATCAATCCAATACTAGCTCTAAAATAACGTTGGTGAAGTAGCAACAGTTTCTGCTGTTCTGACGTCAGCTGCAGATGTGACAAATGTGTAGATGTGACAAATGCAGATTCGCACGCCATTGCCGATATACAGCCATATCGCACTGCTACTCGTGTGATATTGCTCATAGCCACAATATCAGAAAACGAAAACTTACCAAATGCAATCAGCACCAGTGTGTAAGTAATCAATGTATGGAAGGCGGTTTTGGTCTTGTGACCAGCATGAGGTAGAAAAGACCATGCCGATGTTCAGCCAGGGAATAGTCACCCCTGTGAAAGAGAAGAAGACAGAAGAGACAGAAAGAGGAGTGAAGACCTATTCAATAATCCAAATAAAAAAATTCCATGATGCAGAGAGAAGTTTATGTCCTGCTTCAGTCGACGGTAGAGAACTCACCCGGCACAGCACCAAGATGGCGCAGAATGGATCCAGAGTTATTGGGAAGGACGGTGAGGTTCCATCCATGCCTAAGGTGAAAGAGAGAAACAGACAGAAGAAGAGATATAATAACATCATTTTTATAAAACAGCAATGCATATTTCCACAATGCCTTTAATCTCAAATGAAAGCAGCTCTTACTTGGAGAATGGCTCCGACTTGCCCACAGGGAAGCCGCTTCCATGTGTGTTTGTGTCCACTTTCCCATAATGCACTGCTACATGGCAGTCCCTCTGCTCCACTATCCGCCAGTAATCTTGCTATATAAAGAAAAGCAGGACAGATGGAGATGAAGAGAAGTGGCAGGAAGGAGGAAATATAACAAAAAACAAGCACACAACTGTATTTGGATGTAGAAAACATGCACTACTAAAAGAAGATTTGTCAAAGAACAGTTATAATTATATATATAACACCGAAGCACTTGATTTTTAATGTGGATTCTGGTCACAAGCAGAACTGACATTATATAGCAATAATAACAAACAGACATTTACATTTGATAAATGGTTAAAATACAGAAAGCATTACCTCAACTTCAGCAGCCCCAGGCTCTTTGTTGAAGTACATCATCATTGTATTTCTTGCTATTCTGTAAAAGGTGGTCAAAGATACCGATCTCCCCTGGGAAGCATAACAAATAAATCAGTAAGACAAATGGCAAAATAATACACAAGCAAGTATCTCTGTCTGTGTATTCTGATAACAGCCACAGATACTTCTCAAAAAGAATGTTTACATTTTTATAACATCTCAATTTACTTAAAATACTGAGCCTTACTGTAACATAAATGTAATCATATGCACCGATATGGATATTTTGGCTGATACCAATATTGGCCTGATAAATACAAATATTGATATTAACTGAAATCCAACTTATTTCAAAACTGTAACTGCAGAAACAAAAGCACAAGAAAATGTCTTCCCTCTAGCATAAACTCTTGTGAAGAATGTATCGGCTGTGTTGGACAGGCCATGTGAAAGGAAACAATGAAAATTCAAAACCCTATTGGCCAGCAGATTACATCTGATGTGGATCAATCATCAGAAATAACGCATAATTTGTTAAACTCTGTACCAAAATGGCGGCTTTATTGATGCATTCCTTCCAATAGACAACAATGTGTAGGCAAAATCTAATGTAAATGAGGTCTGGCAGGAGCACTTTTATTCTAGCTTAGCATAGATCATTGAATCAGATTAGACCATTAGCATCCCACTCATAGCCTATCACAATCACTACATTGGTTATTTTAATGGAAGTTTTATTCAGGCAATGAATATGCCATATTTTCAGGCACTGGCATACTGACCTAGAAAATAGCAGTCACAAAAAAAGCACAGTCAGTACATGATGCATGTATAGAAGAGTCAAGTTCTAAACAGGAAAATTATCAAAACTCTGGTCATTTATATCAAGGTGCTAAAGGTCTAATTCGCTTCAATGATCTATGCTTAGCTAAGCTAAAAATACTCCCGCGGATCCAAAAATTGTCAGAATGAATTCAAAATTTGTGAAACTCAACTGTTTATCTTTAGGCGTGATGCAAAATGAACCTATTCAAAAATAAAAATGCGGAGTGTTCCTTTAACTCATTAGACAATTCACCTTTTCCAAGTTTCAAGATACAGATTGTGAATTTACCCAATTACTGTAAAATTCACAGAATTTTGACTTGCTTCAATTTTCTTAGGTGCTACACAAAATCTTCAACCACATGAAAGCAACTATAACTCTAAACAAGACAACTGCCAGATACTGCACTGGGAAAGAACAGAAGTGTAGTATGTGTGTGAAGCTCAGCTGTGACCTATATTCAGACATTATTCTGTGAAGAGGCCCACTCTTACCGTACCACCCTGCAGAAAGTGTTACCTCGGACAACAACACACAGGCAGACAGACAGGGTGCTATAAGAGTCAGCAGGGTATTTTTATAGGGCTGGTGAGGCAGACGGAGTCACCTTACATAGACTATATCTACAAGCCCGGACTCACATACACAAGGAACTGAGGGCCTGGGAACAAGGCCTCTCACACAACAGCCATTCTCACAGATAACCACCAACCCACTCACAGTTCTCTTTTTCCTCTACCATCGGTCCTCTCAAACACAAGAACCACACAAACTCTGGCCCATATTTGAGTGAGCTGCCTCAATTTTCACATTGGTTAGCTACTTCTGAATGGTTCGTTCACACCAGACGCATATGAATTGTCAAGTGCGAGTGATTTACATTTACATTACATTTACATTTAGTCATTTAGCAGACGCTTTTATCCAAAGCGACTTACAAATGAGGACAAGGAAGCAATTTACACAACTATAAGAGAAACAATGAATAAGATAATGCAAATAGACATCCTGCGGCATGATTTGTGTGGAATGAAGTGGCACGATTGAGTGTTTTGCACGTTTGATGCTTGAATCATGTGACTCGCTCGAGTTGGAAAATTTGAACTTCAGCAGAGATTCGTGTTAACCAATCAGGAGCTTGCTCTAGTATGGACGTGATTTTGACGTAGTGCCTGTGGTTGCAAATCCTCTTGTCGACATCAGGCAACCACTCATCAAACTGGGCTTGGCTCAGTCTGAAGCACTGCTGAAAGCTTCCATCGTCCAGGTACTGTTTCTGGCGGAGTTGACGAACTCAAAGAGCTGGATGCACTTCTGAAATGATCTAGTGGACTTAGTCATGGTGCCAAACAAATCTACGCTGCTTATCAGCCTTCCTAAAGCACATAAAGCACAGCTACTCTCGCAATAAAATCCATGTTGGCCATTTAGCAATGAAGCTCGTATCATAGGGCAGACATAGAGCCCACCCATGATGCAAATGCCCGTCTATTGTAAAGTGAATTTGAGACGCAAATAAAACGAGTAAACTCAAAATGCTATTTACGTGCTAATATCGCAATTTATTTGGGGGAACCTAGACAGCATTAAAACCCAAAACACATCACATTTTAAGCCTTCATACTTTATTCCACAGTGGTGTGGCTTTGCGTTCAGACAAACCTAGTCATCAGTTGATTCTGGCACAACCCATGGAACCTCAGGGGTGAACCCTCTATAAACACTTCACTATCTGAAGAAACAGCACATCTGCCAGATTGAATGACTTGAATAAAATGAATGAATCAAGTCTGGCAAATTATATTTCTATTTCAGAAAGGAACACAATATGTTAGCTAGCTGAAGAGCATTACGCTGCCATAACAAAAATAGTAGATCATTTATCACCTCTCTTACCTTGTATATACATTTGTGCTGGTCACTGAGAACACCTTCATCTTCCATCTCCTCCTCTGTCTCTTCACACTCCACTTTTTCCCCTTTCTTTTCCTGAGCAAACAGTCTGCGGCGGCCAGCCTGCCGCTGTATGTCTGGCTCTTTGTGGTGATTGCGGAAGCCATTGCGATGGCTGAGGCCATTGAGCCCATTCTTGGGTTCATAACGAGGAAGAGCCAGAGAATGATGGCCGTTATCAGAGTGACCCTCCAGGGGTCCCCGCTTGCGTTCCAGAGCCTCCTTTTCCGCTCGAACCTCCTGCTCCAAACGCTGGAGCTCCTCAGGTGAAAGCAGGTCATAAGAGAGCAGAAACTGGAGGTAGGCCTCCTGGAGCTTGGCCAGACGATCCTGTGCTGATTTGGGAATGCGAAGCAGATCGGCCAGCCGGCTCCATTTTTTCAGGTCCATCACCTGCTGCATTCCACCCAAGTCACAGACCAGCTCAGAAAAACGAGCCAAATCTACTTCACAGCCACCTGAAGGGGTGAGATGGAAGAAGGGATTGTTAAACTTGTGAAAACAGTTTGATAGGAAAGGTGTAATAAAAGACAATATATCATTTCCAAACAACTCCAATGAAATCACTGCAACTACGACAGACTGCACCATCTGCCACCAAATGGGTATTGACAGCTCCAAAAATTAAAATTCATTACATTTCACAGCTCATTAATTCTCTGAATATGTTAGAGTAATCTGGGGTTGCATCTTTATTTGTCTTTTGAAGCAATGAAACATAACACCTGCAGAAAGTGAGTTTAAAGACTGAGGGCAAGTCAGTGCCAGCAAAGTTCAATGACCAATAGTTTAAAACTCTCATAGGAATTGATACAGAATACGGTGGCATTCTGACTCACTCAATAAAAATTTATTTCAACTGTAATTTATGACCGGTTCTTCAAATAGCACACAAAATTCTGAGGCTTGGGGCTGCTCGTTTAAACTTGTATCATGCTGGAAAATATTTGACAAAAAGTAATGGGCAATTGGTTTGACATATGGTTTTCCTTGCCTCAGGCAGACAATAGACTTGATAACATATGTTAAGACTGGACTATGAGAATGTTTGTTGGTCAGTTTCCATACTAATTGTTTTCTCCCCAGTTTATGGACTTGAAATGCTGAAAAACATTTACATAAATACAAGCCCGGGGCAACCTAGCTATAGTTGTATCTCGTTCTTTCAATTGTAACTGAAGTTCTTGTTATGCAGGTCACTAAGGCCCAGGGATGAGCAAAGCTACTCCTGGATAGCTAATGCCCTATAGATTGTACTTTTTTAATTATTTGAAGCCTACACCTTCCTCAGATGTATTGTAAAAAAATATTCTGATAAGATTTTCAGACATGTTTGACAAGGGTACAATACTACAAAGCAGTGCTGCTAGTATATTTGGTCATCTTTACTCTAGACCCTCAAACTTATCCTTGTAGTATCAGTGCTCTATAGTGTCTAATGCAGGGGTACCCAAACTCTGTTCTGGATGGCCGGTGTCCTGCAAAGTTTACTTCCAACCCCAATCAGACACACCTGGGCTAGCTAATCAAGCTCTTACAAGGCTTTCTGGAAACATCCTTGCAGGTATGTTGAGGCAAGTAGGAGCTAAAATCTGCAGGACACTGGCCCTTCAGGTCCGAGTTTAGACACCCCTGGTCTAATGCTTTAGGTGCTAGAAAATTATACATAGGAGAGGCTGCCTTAAATTCTGCAGTGCAGTGGTGTTCCATGTCCTGATTTGACCTATACAAACAAAAGCAGATCTAAATGCAGAGGATTTAAAGGACTTGCCTATAACAGGTGGCTGATCCATTGAGATGCCCTGAGATTTGAGGTGCTTCTTAATGCAGGCAAGTTTTTGAACATTGGGCCCCCAACGCCTGCCCAGCTTGTGTATGCGCTGAACCTGTGTCACAAAACGCATCTCATCATTGAGTTTGCACTCTGGCCTCCAGTCAGTAGGAGGCAGCACTCTGCACAGTCCACATGACTCGACCTGTTCCCGAAATGAGTCTAGGTACACCAAAGGGTCCTGGAACTCCCTGGAGCTGGGCTTAAAAATGGGCACATCCCCCAAGGCTGCATACCTTGCCCTGCTTCTCTCCCTTTCCCTCTCACGCTCCCTGTCTCTGTCCAGCCGAGGTGGAGGTGTGTGTGTGGGCTCTGCTGGTTTGAAGGACTTGCTGGCTGAGGTAGTGGATGTGGTCCGGTTGAGGGTAGGATTAGTTTGGGCCCTCTGCTGTGCTTTTCTGATGAACATCAGTTTGCCAGCAGAGGCACGTTTGGGTCGCTGTCGTGCTGGCTCAGGGATTGCAGGGTTCTGGGGCATGGACGGGGAAGCTGGAGCAGCAGGGGGAGATGGAGGAGGAGCAGGACCCGTTTTCTGAATAGGGGAGGCAGCCATTTCAGTGATACTATGTGCAATAGTGACTATGTTAGGGGACTTGAACTGATTCAGGGCTTTCTTGCTGCGAGTTTCAAGTGGGCTAGGCTGCACTTTAGCTTTCTTAACCTCAGTGGTTTGCTGCTTAGTTTTAGTCTCTTCACTCTCAGTTACAGCTCCAAGCAATGTCATGGCATCACTTCTGCGTTTAGAGTTCCGCAGTCCTTGCCGCACTGGTCGGTCAACAACCTCTTCTTCCCTGGCACTATGGCGTCCATTTAGCCTGCCGTTAAGCCGGCTCCCATTAGTCATCTTATGCACCCCATTCGACAATAGCACCTGTTTGCGGGTTTTTGCATTGATACTTTGGGCTTTTCCTGAGTGAGAGAGCTGGGGCCGGCCATGGCCATTGCTGGTTGCATGATGAGAATTATGGTGATGGTTGTTGCTGTAAGCACGAAGGCCTGCAGAAGCTCCGTGCTTGCTGTGGTTGAGTTTGGCTTTCTTAACCAGTTCTCGTTTTGCTTTGGTGTAGGTGACGTGGCCCTTGGACACGGTGGCTGTGTACTTCACAGTTTTGGACGGCAGACGAAAGTCTTTCTGCTTTTTGCCACTGGCTTTATGCGTGCCAACTGATGATGCCCTTGTGAGTCCATTTACTTTCGAGACCTAAAGTGAACAGAGAAAAACGATTGTTATCATAATGCTACATAAAGTAAATCAATGGAATCTGTGAGAATTTTCAAATCCTGACTGAAAAGAATAAGTTCCTAACCTTTATTTGCATACCAAGACAGTCACAGTTCATGTCTCCACTCACACAATAATACAGACCACAACAGAGCTCCAAAAACCCCAAACCAGAGAGAACAGCAGGGAAGAAATAGGGAGGGGAAGTGTACTAGATTGATGAAGAAAAAGAACGATGTTTTTTATTCAGTGCCAACAGCTGCGAAAAATCCTTAGAAGTGTAGTTTAATCATAAAATCCTATTTAAGCATCAATTCATCGGCTGCTTTATTCAGTACAGAAAACTAAAGTTCTTCAAATTTGGCTTTAATGCCTCAAATAAAAGAAGCCGTGCTTTCAGCTGATCTGAGGCCCCCAATATACTTCACAGCAGAGCAGATGCAGCTTGGGTTACGCCCGGCCTCTCATTGTTTAACAGCCGCCATGGGAATTCGACTATGCCAGTCTACAAACATAGTCAGCCTCGACTTCTCTCTTCACATTGTTTTGTTTGGCTCTGTTCTTCTGGCAAGGCAGAAAGGATTTGATTTCCTATGTGTGTTTTCTTATAGAGCCAAGAAAAGATGATGCAGCCGGAGGGTTTTAGTGGGCTAAAACTCTAGGTGAAATAAACACTATGTGCTTCCTGACATCAGAGATATCTCACTGGATAGGAAGGAACAGTCCTGAAATTTGGCTTTAATTCGTCAACAAACCTTCAAAGGCATAGTTCACCAAAAAAAAAAAAAAAAAGGAATATTTATTCACTATTTACTCTCCCTTGAGTGGTTCCAAACGTTTGTGTTACTTTCTTCTGTTGAAAACAAAAGACAACGGCTGCACCCGTAATCACATACTTACATACTATATAGTATGCTAAAAACAGTTTATGAGTAGAGCAGTATGTCCGAATTCATAGATTTAAAAAAAAAAAAAAAAACAGTATGCGAGAAATACTTGGATGACTTACTACTTCTGGCCAATTCTGAAGAGTGCATCTGATGCACGCTGTACTATCCCATTATTCCCCATGAGAGAATTCATGAATGTGAGTCAAAGGAGGCAATTCACACAGGTAGGTCATGTAATTATGACAAAATGGTGGATACAGTATGTCCGAGTTCCTTTTCACATTCATACGACATAGAACAAACTTTTCTAAAGACCAAGTAGTACATTTAAATCAAATGCAGTACCTACTGAGTGGTAGACGGTTTCGGATGCAACCAATATTTTGAATAAAGCTGTAATCATTGACATTCATAGTAAAAAAACACTATGGAAGTCCATAGTTAAGGGTTTCAAGCCTTCTTCAAAATAATGTCTTTGGTCTTCGACAGAAGAAAGAATTTCTAACAGGTTTGCTACAAGTGAAGGGGCTGTAAATAATGACTCAATTTGAATTTTTGGGTGAACTGTCTATTTAATTTATAATGATGCAGTCGGATATGAAAACCATTCTTGCATATTCGTGGTAAATATATTATTGGGCAAGTACCAATTTGAGACTCTGGTTTTAAATCTAGCAAAAAGGCTTGTTCTTTCTGCATTACACTGGCAAGATTTTTAGGTTTGTGTTTTCTTGTTATTTTTTTACACTATTCCTTGTCTCACAGTGTGAATTTTCCACCTGATAGCAAAGAAGCCATTTAATTGTTCCATTTGACTACTTGATGTGGCCCATTTTGATAACTTCACACTTTTGAATAGGCCATTAGATGTGGAGCCACACCCTCCCTCATTTTCCTCTCTTTAAAGTCACTGAACACCCTTAACGAGAGTCTCTGTTGTGGGAACGGTGTCCAGACTGTGCTGATCTCGGAGCCAGAGGTTTGCTGTCGGACAGGCGAGGAGATTGCTGAGTGTCTTTGAAGTAAGACATCGGCTGTATTGTATTCCAATCAGGTGCAGCCGCACAACAAAGAGAGGCTATTAAAAGATAAGGGGGACTGAAATGTGACCTCCTTCATCAATCGTTTCCTCTTGTCGGCAGCAGGAAAAAAAGAACTGCAGGAGGGAGAGGGGGAGAATATAAAAGAAAGCGACAGACTCCAGCCCCAGAGGCAGGCATGATGGATGCTCTCTGCAGGTAGAGTAAGCAAATGTAGCATGATGTCAGCTGCGGCCATGTCTATGAAGCACCCCCGTCATCATACCCGCCCTCTTTTGAAATAACACGTCAGTGGTCTATGGCACGCCTTATCCCATCTGCAGGGCTCTGAGAGTGCAGAATGTGATGGTAATGATAATCCCACTCAGCATAACGCTGGATGCTGAGCAGAGCTTGTCCCGCGTCTGGCTTTGTGTGTATTGAGCATCATGACCACTAGAGGGCTCACTGAGCCCAGAACTCTGCCTGAGGGGGCAAATGAGCCCTGCCACATGCTGCCAGCTATTATTTAGACTGTCTGAAAAGGTGGAAGAGAGAAAGTGAGGAAGAAACCACGCAAGCAAGAGAATACAGGTCAATGGACTGTCCCCAGTGGGCAACCCCCTGAAGGGGAAACGAAGAGCAGGCTGGAGGAAACAGGGAAGAAAACAAGGAAAGAGAATGGAAGGAAGGATGGAATAGTTAAAGGTTGGCTGGCTAGAGATGTGCAATTAAACCCGTTTAACAGCCAGGAACAATAACAGGAGAACCCACACAGACAAGAGGCCAGGCCAGCTTTTTGAAGTAGATCTTGGACTCATGTGAGCATGAGGGAGGACAGATGACATCATGTGTTGCTATAGGCCAGATGCAGCACAGCACAAGATTTAACTGAGAACATCTGCAGCGCTGTAGCCCACACCACACACATACACACTACATTTTAATCTATCCGTTCAGACTATGAAGTTTCAGAAGTGTCCTTTGGTTGAACATGTTTAGGAGGAATTTCTAAACTTTTTATCTATCCATAGTATTAAAACAGAATATACCCACATGTCCAAAGCTGTGTATTCTAAATATTTGTCCTATTACAAGCACTTTCACTAGTTCAGAAAAGACACTGTTAACTTTGTTTGTTACATGGAAAACTTATAATAGCTCGTTTGTGGAAAAAATTGGACAATGGTTGCGGGAATTGTTTTATTGTTTGGCTTTAGAAAAATTAACTTATTTGGTCAAGAGAAAACCTGAAAAGTTTTCCAAAATTTGGAATCCCTTTGAAGGTTTCCTGAAGTAAGCTGATGCAAATCTTATCTCTGTATACCTTGTATTACCAGCTATTAATTTACCATTGTAGTTATATGATGTACCTTTATATTGTATGTGTATTTACATGCATTTATTTATATGTATAAGTGTATATACGTGTGTGTATATGTATAGATTATTTTTATTATAATTTAGGTGATCTGCTTGAGGTAGATCAATTTATTTTTAGGCTTTTGATGAAGTAGCATTCAACTTAAGAGCCCTTTAGACCATGCACTGTGTTTCTCCGTGTTTTGCTGGTAATGTCTTTAAATACATTTTTTTAGGACTATTTAATTATTCATTTATTATTTGTGTGCAATAATTATAATTTACATAAAAAATTTAATTAAAAAAATTAATTAACATAAAATGAGATCGTAAAATCCAATCAACAACGAAAATGCAAATGAAAACTGTAAATGAAAACATAAATGGAAAAAAAAATTTTGTGCATTGTAAAAACGGCTAAAATCAATAAAGAAAGCTAAAAAAATTTTATTAAATTCAAAATTTAAATAAACTATTTTTGATTGGGGAAAAAAAAATCAGTTTGGATGGTCTCTACAGATTAGGCACATATGTTATATACATGTAGCAATAGTTCAACCAAAACTAAAATTCTGTCATTATTTACAAAATTGTTTCAAACCATTTTATTTAATTTTTTTATGTTTCTTCTACACAAAATTAGCTTAAAAGATAGCTGAAAACCTGCAACCATTGACTTATAAAGTGTTAAAAAAAAGGTTTGGAACCAATTGAGTTTGAGTAAATAGTGACTAAATCTTCATTTTTTTGGTAAACCATCCATTTAATTCAACTTCATTACCATTTTACACTTTATAGTAACATATTTCTATGAAAAAAAAAACACATCTAAAATTTCTGCTGTCTTTGGAGACAAACTCCAAACACCACAGCCAAATATCTAGCAGTTAAAAGAACAGGAAATCTTCAAAGAAAAAGAAAAAGACAAAAAAAAAAAAAAAAATCAAAAAGACTCCTTAATGTAACTGCCATGGATAAAATGAAATAAATAAATACAGCTGTAACTCACTCTAACAATTAACACACAAATCAGTTTAATAAAAATGCTGCTGAACCTGTTCTGCACCTGCTGTTAGCAGCAAGAGAACACTCTAGTTCACAGATCAAGTAAAGCCAAACACTCTAAAGCCAAAATAAATACATAAAGTCCACAATAAAAATAATAAATCCCTTCTCCCACTGCCTTTTTATCTCTCAAAATTATTCCATCGATATACTTTATATATTCCCACTGATGGAGGAAGATACTGTACACCTATAGTGTGTTACTAAATGCGATCAATTTCCAGAGTTGCTCGATACAAAAAATAGAAAGCAGCATGATAAACATTCAAAGCATGTGTAATCGGTTATGCTCATGTCATGGCTCTTTAACACATGAAAATTGGCTTTAAAAAGAGAGACAATAAAAAGAAAAAGAGCGAGAGAGGGAGAGGTCAACAGCTGTCTTGTAGATTGTCATAGTTTTGCAGACTATGCCACATTTATCATCCCTGTTTATTGTTTTAAGTATAAAAGACGAGTGGTAAAGTGTTTATGTGCGTGTGTCAGTATAATAACAGGCTTTATCCGACTCAAGGGTTTAACATGGCATCAGTCATTAAACCACCACTTTTAGGTACTACTGCTACAACATGAGTGCTAAAATACATTGGACCTATACTTCTCATACACATAAGAAAGGTCATTTTGATTACATGGACAAAACACTAAGGCAGCGCAAAAAAAAAAAAAAAAAAATCCTGTTTATATGCAACAATGTTGCGTTTTTTTTTTTTTTTTTGGAAAAGACAGGAAGACCAATATCTGTATTTGAATTAATAATTGTAATTGTTGAACGAACTAGAAATGAAGACGTTATATAAAAAATGCAGAAAGTCCTGGTTTTAGTGCCACAAGTTGACAGTAAGAGATTTACACTTAGGAATTCAAGTACCGTAATTGGTTCTGTGTCCCAGTCAAAAGCATCGGAATAGCCCTTTAGATTTAGTAAGCAACAATTTAACATTATTAAGCATATCCTGGTTTTACAAACAATGATATGATGCAGGGCCCTTTGTCATTGTTGCGTTCTATTTTACATTCAAGTAACTGTAATTTACAACATTCTGAATGTACAAGAAACAGAATGTGAGTATCTTTATGGTAAAGTCAGTTTTTATTATTAGCTTAGAGGTAAAAATTATTTATTTTTAAATACATTTTTTAATTAATATGTAATTAACAAACTGATCTCATGAGGAAACGTAACTATTTCACGTGTTGGCAAAAAAGTGGCTAATTCATACAAAACATAGCCCTTTAGAGGCGTAACCTAATAATGCTAATAAAAACATTACAAATTGTTGTGAGATTGTGTCGTTAGAAGTCCACAAGAAGACAGTCCAGAATTAGAAGTAGAAGAAAAAACATATGTTCACAATTTGCACAACAGATTAGGGAAATAATATTTGGTAACACTTTATTTTGATGGTCCAGTTGAGTATTGGTAGACTGTCTGCTTAATATCTGTTGATACTGCTGCTAAACAGACATTTAACTGACTATAAGAAACTTTGCAAGTACATGTCAATTTATACCAACCCTAACACCAACCTGAGAGTTTACTTATAATCTAATGATAGTTAGTTGGCATGTAGATGCAATGCAACTTAAATTCAACAAACGGACCATCAAAATAAAGTGTGACCTAATATTACAATGTTAATATAATTTGATGAATATCTGGTTATGTTAGACTACATGACTTTTGTGGCACTTAATTGTCTAATTTCCACGGAGATATACAGTTTAGTATAATACACTATAGCAGAATTTGGCATGGTTCACCCTGACCAGGCTTGCATTTCCACTGCCAACAGTACCTTCACTTGGCAGGCTTGGTGATTGCCAGCACAAATATTTATTCATATATTGCATATATTTTTCATTGTTTCAAATGCAAAAGCTTAGCTAGTGAATCATTTTAATGCACGACAAAACATACACAGAAAGAAAAAAACACTTTCAAAAAAAAGGGGTACATTACACTTCACTATTTTGGTGCTCTCGGCAGTGGAAATGTGGATAAATGCATACTGAACTGTATGTTAGTATACTGAACCAAACCATTCGCCTCAACTTTTACTGACTAGCAGCTCCAGCATATTTGCTGACCTGCAAAACCAGTCATTGTATTCTACTCATGGATATGCACCTGCTTTCGGAGCTCCTCTGCAGCTCTCCTGTAGTTGTGGCCATTGGTGTTGTGGCTCTTGGCTGTGGCTGCCGTGTGTTTGTGGGAGATCTCAGACTCATCACACCTCTCGCTGCGATCTCTCCCCACAGACGACTCTCTGGCTTTGGATCTGGGAGTGAGCTCTTTGTCCTTGTGTACCTTATGGCCATTCAACACTGCAGTAAAATAAAAATAAAAAAATAAAAATAAAAACAGGGTTAATAAAATACACAAACAATCATTATTAATAAACATTTTTTGTGTCAGCATTATGTTTATTGGGATGCTATTTCATGCAATACTCTGAACTGTATAAGATGATTTACAAACTAATTTGACTTTTGTCAGAACATTTTTTTGTCCATGATAAATATTAACCAACATAACAGATGAAATGAATTACCCTAGCTTCCCCTTTTGTTTTAATATACATTTAAAATAGTACACAATATACACTAGTATCCTATTTTGAATACATGTACTGTTTTAGACACTGACAGATACCCAGTCAAGATGCCCTGTGACAGAAACAAAACCACTACATACAGGAAGTCCTCTGACAGACATGTGATTGGCAGAACGTGGTAAAAGAAAAAAGAAACATTTCAAAAATAAATTCCACCGCAAGACAAAACATGCACAGTAAAAAACAGACATCAGCACTTCTGTATGCATATAGAAAAAGTCCTGAGCAAGTGAAATAAAGTGCAAACTAAACTTTCTACAAGCATCATAAAATTGCATAAACAGACCCCCCCCCCAAACAAAATAGCACAAAACAAAACAGATATAAAAATATAAGCAAAATCAGAGAAAACTAAACTTTTGTTCTAAAACACAAGACAAAAAGCTAAACTAAAAAAATAATAAATAAAAACAAGGATAGAAAAAACAAATAAAACAAATCAAATAAAAACAGCATAAACACAACCGATATATAAAAAATAAAAGCACACCAATCAAAGAGAAAACAAACTTTTTTGTAAAGAAAAACACAAAAAAGCAAAACTAAATTTAATACTAAAAAACACAAAAAGAAAAAAGAAAACCAAACACACAAATTGTTAAACAACACAAAAAAGCTAAACTAAATTAAACAAAAATACAAAAAGAAAGTGAAATAAAAAAGAAAACCAAACAAAACAATTGAAATCAAAACAGCACAAAACAAAACCGACATAAAAACAAAAGCACACCAATCAAAGAGAAAACAAACATTTTTTTTTGTAAAAGAGAGAACAAAAAAAAGATAAACTAAATTAAAAACAAAAATACAAAAAGAAAACAAAATAAAAAAACAAACAAACAAACAAAACAAATTGATTCAAAACAGCATAAAACAAAACTGATGTAAAAAATAAAAGCACAGCAATCAAAGAAGAGAAAACAAATGTTTTTTTGGTAAAACATAAGGCAAAAAAAGCTAAACTAAATTAAAAACAAAAATACAAAAATAAAAAAAATTAAAAAAAGATAATCAAACAAAACTAATGAAATCAAAACAAAAGCAAAATAAATCTCTGAGTTTGTTTAGTAACATCTCTGAGTTGCCATTAGTATATGTGCACTTACTCTACAGACAACGCTGTTAGAAACCTTTTCAGTGCTTTTGGACAGCTTGGTTATCAGGCCCTCTGGACGGTTCTAATTAGCACATATTCAAACTGCTCTCTGTATTTATGACTGCTCACTTTAATTTTACAGTGTTTAAATATCAACAGGCAGCAGAGCGTGTCAGCGACAGGGAAACGGACGGGCTTTTGCGCTGTAAGGCTTGTGCTTGAATCTGCTACCGACAGCTGAACTCAATAAAAGGTGTTTAATTTAGAAATGTAAACACGCCTCTGGGTTACAGAGGTTCAGCGAATGAAAGCAGAGCACTGTGGTTTCTCGCTCTGAGAGACACAGAGAGAGGGAAAGATTGGAGCTTTGCCTGCGCCCCATATTAAAGTGTCACATCTGACACCGGCCGGTCAGACAACAGGCTGCGTCCAGACACCAGATAGACAGAATGGAGAGAGAGAGAGAGAGAGAGAGAGAGAGAGAGAGAGAGAGAGAGAGAGAAAGGTGGGACAAAGACTTTTTTTGATCACGGGACAGTGTGCATTTCACCAGCATAACCAGCTTATGGTGCTCTACATGTATAAAAGCTCAATACTGTAAAGATCAAGCTGCAAATTCCTGAATGGAAGCCAATCTGAAGAAATCAAGAAATCCATTTAAGGTCACTTAACACTGGCTGAGAAATAAAAGTGAGGTAATTCATCCATGTCGAGAGAACAGGAACAGACAAGAGAGTTTTTGATTGGCAAAACTGGTTTTTGATCAGTGTGTTGGAATTTAGATAAACTGTTTGGAAGTACTAAACTAAGAAAAGGAAATTTACAACATCATCATTTGCTTTTCTACAATTAGTTATAGAAATTTGGAAAATTTGGAATGGCATACTCCTTTATCTAATGTTAGCATTCGACAGACACACATATATATCATTTCAGTGTATAAAATGGTGCATTTGCAGACTTTATAGCCTTGTTTGCAGAATGCTACTGAATTTATTTAACGCTCACTGTGTGCTGTTATAAAAGTAAGCACTAATTTGTCTTTATTTAAAAATTAAAAGATAACTAATGGAAAAACAAACAAACAAACAAACAAACAAACAAACAAACAAGGCTTCTAGTGTATTCATTTGCACTTTTAACAATTGCTTTATATGTTAAAAAAAAGACAATGAATGAAATAAATATTTAGAGCATGTCAGTATGTTGACTGTCAAAAAACATTTTGAGCAATGACTTTTTCATTTGATAACAAAACAAATAAAACAAAAAATAAGCCATGAAACATTTGAATCAATAGCATTTTCATGTAAAACAAACAAGCAAATGAAACAAATGGAATGGAATGTAACGGAACAAGATGAAACGATTGAAACAAAACAAATGAAACAATCAAAATGAACGAAATGGAACGAACGAAACAAAATGAACAAAACTAAAACTAACTAAAAACAGAAATAAAGAATTTCTGAAGTTAGGTTAAAATAGCAAATGTCTGTTTGTTATTTATATTGCCAAAAAACAGTACAGGCCCTACAGTACAGAGCTTGGACACCCTTGCTCTAGGATATCTATATTGCCTAAAAACAAACAATAAAAAAGAACTAAAAATCAAACATAAATCTAAAATTTTTATGTGTTCTGTATGTGTTTATATTTAAATCCCAGCTTGATCATCAAATTTCCCGTAAAGACACTTTATGGGTCTCTTGTCTTTTAATTATCTGCTGAGAGATTATTTTTGTTTGTGAATAAGATGTTTTATTAACACACATGCTTTCACAATACCTTGCTGTCCCTCTTTAAACTCACTCAGAGTAGGTGTTTCAGACTGTCTCGCCTTCATTTGTAGAGGTGTGTGTGAGTGTGTGTAGCGTACAGAGACTCGGCACAGCTGCAACTGAATGCATAAACACCTTGTTACCGCCTTTCCTACTAAAGTGATAATTGGAGTGGAAAGATGGAAGCGTCACGTCCCAATCCAACACAGGATTCCCATCTCCCCCCCACCCCCCCCACCCCCCCACCCCTCTCTCTCTCTTTCACTCTCATACATTTACACTAAAAAGAATTATGTTTTTCAAAGTCTTGTGCTCATCAAAGATGCTTTTGTTTGATCAAAACTGTAATATTGTGAAATTACAAAATAACACATACAATATTTTTTCCTTGAAAAACGTTTAAAAAAGAACAGAGGTTACATGAAATAGATTTACAATAACCATTCAAAACTCTATTGATCAGTTTAATGCTAAATGAAAGCATTATTTCTTTAAACCTGAAAAGTAGTGTATATTAGCCTGTTGAATTACTCCATAATTTATAGATCTGCATTATTATTTATGGCAGTTTGAATAATGAACTTGAAGTTTAAACTTCAAATATGAATTCAATGTTGTTTTTAGGGAGCTGTTAGCACATTATTTTATAGTTTAATTTAATTAAATCACAGTTAATTATGGAAGCGTCACGTCTCGATCAAATACAAGATTTCCATCTCTTCTCTCTCTCTTGTACATTTAAACTAATAAGATTGATGTTTTTTAAAGTCTTGTACTTATCAAAGCTGCATTGGTTTGATCAAAACTCAAATATTGTGAAATGACAAATATTAAATAGAAACAATAACACGTAATTCTTTTTCTTGAAAAAGAAGTAAAAAAAAAAAAACAGATGTTCAAAACTGTTGATCCGTGTATGCTAAATGAAAGGCATTATTTATTAAATCCTGAGAGTTAGTGTATATTAACTTGTTGAATTATTGCATAATTCATTAATCTTCTTTATTTGTGGCAGTTTGAGCAATGAACTAGAAACATGAATTCAATGTTGTTTTTAGAGAGCTGTTCATTATTTTATGGTTCATTATTTCATGGTTTATTGAATCAAATCACAGTTTATTATGCAAGTACAGCTCTAAACAACGGCAAAGTAATAAAAAATTACTTAAAAGTTAATGTTTTAAGTAAATGTTTTATATTAATTTTATAATTTTAGATATTTCAGATATGTACAGTAGTCAACATTTAAAGTGGATCAAAACCTTTAATCAACATTGTTCTAGAATGATTAAAAACCAGTTGCTTACAGTTTTAAAAAATGTTTTTGAATGTTGATTACTGTGTATTATCATTTTGAGCATATATTTGCAGAAAATGACAATAGGTCTACATAAAATGTTGCAGGTTTTCAAAATATGTCAAATATCTACTTTTTTCAATATTATTTAGGGTCTAAAACCATGTTAAATCTTGTAATTGACATTTTGAATACACATTATTAGTAGCACCAACCAAAACTGTACTCAAAATGCATACCGATTAATGGCAAATCCAGAAAACCAATACTAATTTTGAAGTTCTCTATTAATTTTAATAGTTTTTTTTTTTTTTTTTAGAGATTTAGCCTAGGTACTTTATCTCTCAAATTAAATAATTAATGCAACTATTAGATACTCTTCATTACAACACAGCATGCGTTTACACAGAAATTCACCATGTAAACATAAAAACCATTTCGCAGTATGTTGAACAGTTTGTATTTGCATTGTGCTCCAGTTGTTTTTATTACCGAGTCCGTTGATCTTGCCATGTGGTTTGCCCTTCTTAGGTGTAGACTGGCACGATGTAGATGCCACGCTGGGTGCTTTCTCTTCTTCAATCTCATCTTCGTCTTCCAGATCCTCCTCATCCTGAGAGCAGCCGAAGTAGGCCATGTTACTGGGTAATGCCGGTGAGCCTGTGAGATGAGAGAAAGCGTTAAAGGAAGCCATGCACAGGCCCGACACATTTCCTGAGAAGTGGTCGAAGAGAATGGGATAAACAGGCACAAGTCTGTAATCTCAGTTTCTATTGCAACTGTAATCCTCTGAAAATCAGCGGCTGCTCTGGATGAGATTAGAGAGTGTGGCAGCCGGAGGATCGAGTGTTACAGTACACTCTTCTGTTTCAAAAACACCAGATGATAACCAGCGCTGCACTGCATTATAACAGCAACATATGAAGAGTTTTGTAATAAAGTCACTATTCCTGGATCAGGCAGAGCTCGAAAGCTGAAAGGTCTTAACACACATGGTGGAAAAACAAAAACAATAAACAACAAATGACATTGGATAAATGACTTTTACAGAATGAAAGCTTGACTAATTATTTCCACTAAACCATTTGACCAATAGCTATTAGATAATTTATCTAACAAATGAAAAACAAATAAACAAATAAATTAATAATACTTAAAATGCTTAAATTGCATAACATACAATAACAAATAAATAAAATAAAATAAAATAAAATAAAATAAAATAAAATAAAATAAAATAAAATAAAATAAAATAAAATAAATAAAATAAACAAAAAACAAAACAAACAACAAAACGAAATGTAATGTAACCCTTTGGCAAATGTTTAATTTGTGTAATAAATAAATAAATAAAAACAAGGACTGACATGAAACCTATGATTAATGATTGTTTTCATTTTTCAAATAAAAAAAATAAGTACAATAATAATAATCATAACAATGATAATATTACTAAAAAAAAAAAACAAGCATGAACAAATCTAAGCAAATAAAACTGATGAAAAACTGAAACAAAATAATAAAGAAACTAAACCTCTTCCTCAAATATTTTTTTCATGTCTCATAAAATAAAATTAAATAAATGAACTAAAATATAAAACTTATCCTTTAAGGTTAAAGCCACAAACCATCCTTTTATTTTCTATATAAATTATGTTTTGGTATTCTAAAAATTATCTATTTATTTATTTAGGGCTATTTGTTATTATTATAATCATTATAATTATTATCATCATCATCATCATCTACAACAACAACAACAACAACAACAACAACAACAACAACAATATTAATAATAATAATAATAATAATAATAATAATAATAAACAACAATAATAATAATAATAACAGTAATCATTATTATTATTATCGTGCCACAGTCTTCCTTAGACACACAGTCTTTCACAGAGAATGCCCAGCAATGGCTAAACCTGCATTGGCAACCTCAATATTTCACATACAAACAGTCCCAGTGATGCATGTCAAATGGCTGTTGCCCATTAGCACTAAAGATGCCCCCTCCAGCCCTATGAACACTAAAACCTCCACTACCGCACGTCTGCACTACACCGGCCAACAATTATCATTATTATCTAGCGCTGTTCTCCACCAGATTCATGAATGAAACATGAGCGTGTTGCCGCGGCCTGTGAATGTGCTCTCATTAGCTCTCTATTAAAGTGAAGCTGCTGCTGGTTTGACTGCGATGCTGATGTCACTACATACATGCAGCATTCGACATGGCAGATTAATGCTTATGGTCTGTGAGACAACATTTATAATAGCACGTGAAGCAGCTTGACTGTTCAAGGAATAAAGTAAATTAATAATATTAATAAAAAATGTTTTAATATGGAAACACTGTCTTAGAATCTTACATTTTAGTTGAAGCAAGATATAGTTATTTTTTTTTTTATAATAATGATTAGCTAACAAAGATGATATTATTATTTAAAAAAAACAAGTACATAAATAAAGCATAAGTTAAAAAAATATATAAATACATTTTAGTATAGTACTACACAGTAATGTCAAAAACAAAATTAATCATTAAAATTGACAACTCAACTTAAATATACTACCAATATTATTTTAATATTACAAAACTATTTAATTATAAAAATAAAAGCTAAAAATATATAGATAAATTAAATCAAATTTTATTCGTATAAAACCAAAAATATTAAAAGCTTAAAGTTGTTTCAAACTTTACAATTTGGCGCCTTATTTAATATTCAAATAAAACAAATACACACATAAAGGACTACATTCAGTAGGACTGAATTACACCACAGGATTTTCAATCAAAATATGTGTGACGTAACTTCTATATACAAGGACTTCAAACAGGACTTCAGTTTACCTTTGAACAAACCCATAAGATGGTTACTTAAACATACATAAATGACAAGATCAGCTTTCTGCCTTGACAGATTTCAGAGATCGAAAAGTGTAAACAAACATAACGTCAGCTCAACTAATTAAGAAATGGGAGCCATTATCATTATCTCATTCTCCCAAGCTGGAGGGGGCAAAGGTTAAAAAGCCAATTGCTTGGAGACTTGAGGGTCATCCATGGTCATAAATGGAGGAGGGAAAACACTGGCATGGGAAGAAAAAAAAAAAACATTTGTCATTTGTTTTGTTTCTTTTTTTTGTTTTGTTTTTGTTTGTTTATCATTTTCTGATAAACTGGTGCCAAAAATCAGAAATCAAAAATTGCTGTGGTAGGAGAGGCTGAGAGGCCTTTTTATATATATTAAGTAAAGTTTCACAAACTAATTTCGAGAGGAGCATGTGATATGATTGAGCTTCTCATATGTAGCCAGTATTAATCCAGTCAGAGTGACCAAAGCTTACTATAAAGGGATCGTTTTCTCCCTACAGCTCTATCTTCAATTTGGAAGAATCCCCCCTTCCACCCCATCTCCTCCTTTTCTAGGGGGGGCTCTCGAGTCCTACCTGATCTCGGATCCCTTATATGCTTATTGACTGGGCGGAAGCCTTGGGCTCAAGTATCTCTGAGCTCAGGATTCTCTCCCAGACAGCATGCCAAACCTGCTATTAACGCTAAGCATATCTAAGTGGGAACTCTTGAAATTACTTGTGCCTCAAAAAAGGAAAACGAAATGCAATGAATGTGTGGTTTGGAGGTGGGAAACCGCTTTGGGAGCAAAGCTGCTTGAGATAATACCAAACCACTTCGATGATAAACTTTGGATAAGGGGTTTTTGAATAACCAAAACAACATTTCAGATATTTTACAATATGTTTGGTCTGCTGACTTGTCCATTAATGCTGTCCCATCTGCTAAATCCCTTTTTTGATGCGCATGCTGGAATGTATTTGATAAACACGTTTTCTTCATAGTTTATGTGCATTTTTTTCCATATAAAAAGATGATCTTAGTTAGTTGTATTTATGCATATGCTCAAAATTTGTGCACATCTTGGCAATTCCATTAAGCATTTATTGTGCTATTCCAAAATGTGCATAGAAATAGGTGGAAAGAAACAGCTACTGTTTTCCCTTTTGTAGTGTTTGAATTCTCATTCGTTTACTACTTTTTACCCACAATCAACTATGACTGAGTGTACATCAGATGTACATTTGTTAAAGCATCATTTCCCCAAATCCAACACAATTTATTGAAAGAGTAAAGGATTACACAATATGGTTGACGTGAACAAATGTAAAATCTTAATTCAAGATAGAATTCCATCAGGAGTCAGCAAAAATGTTTCTTGACGGTTTCTTCTGTGGTCCCCCTTTCCTGATATGGTTTACTCATCTGCATGACACTTTACAGGGATCAGTGCATGAGTGAACAAGTGAGCAGTTTCGGACACTGCTCTTGGCTCGGTTTTATTGCGTGCCCTAGGGAATTCTGGGTAGGGAGTAGCCCAACTATAGCTCCCAGTCACTGGCGTCAGGGGTGCGCAAGCCGGTTTGTTGATCGCAATCACGCGCCTTCTGTCACGCCTCAGCCTCTTTCTCTGGAGCCAAATCTAAATCCGTCATCTCCCAGAGAGAAAGAAAATAAAAAACAGACCTTCCCAATCCCCCAATTATGTACGCTCTCAAATTCACAGGCTGGCATAAATCATAATTAAAGATGAAGGCATCCGTTACAATTGTCATTTTTAATTCAAGCGCAGGCGTAATTACAACTGAAGTGTTCTACTTCGGATGCTTCTCTTTTGTTCTGTTTAAAAGCAAAAGAGGTAAAAACTGAAGCTCAAGGGGAACCAATCAAATATGTCACAGTAGTTGTCCTTGTTCTGATTGGACTGCTGGTTGCCGTGCGGACTGTTTCCATCATACATGTGGTTAAAAAGATTGTGGTGGCATCCCAAAAAGACAGTTCAGCCACAAATGAGAATTCTGTCAGCATATACTCTCCGTTAGGCATTACAAATAAAAGCAAAAAGACGTACTTCAGTACACAAAACGTAAGCTCAAGAACCATCTGTCTCAACAAACACCCTTGTGAAAACTGCTTAATTTTTTTTAAAGCACTTTACAACCACAGAGGAGCAGACCAAAGTGCTGAACAGTAAAATGAAAATTAAAACACCAACAACATATAACACAGTATACAACTCAAGTAGTAAAAAAACTGCACGCGTAATGTATCAGGTGACAAAGGCCAAAGAGAAAAGGTAGGTTTTGAGATGTGATTTGAACAGAGACAGTGAAGGGGCCTTTCTGATGTAAGGAGGTAGGGCAATCTATAACTTGGGGGCAGCCACCACAAATGCACGGTCACCTCTAAGCTCTCGTCTGTTTTTTGTAACTCTAAGAAGCAGCTGATCTGCTGATCTAAGAGCACACGGCGGTACACGGTAGAGCCATTAAAGAATTTAAAGACAAACAAAAGAATTGTAAAATGAATTCTATATTGTACAGGTAACTAGTGAAGTGTGGGTAAAATCGGGGTGACAGATCAAACTTACAACAACCTGTTAAAAGACGTGCTGCAGCAACTTGCACCAGCTGAAGACAGGGCACAGAAGACCCACTTTTGCCTATAAAGTGAGTTACAGTAATCCAGGCGGGTAGTAACAAGGGCATGGATTACGGTTTCAGATTGTTGTCAAAAACTGTGCACTTTAGATCCTAACCCTTGTGTATAGTTCAAATTTACTACCATTTTGTTC